CAAAGAACAGCTAATACCAGTACTCCTCAAAATGTTACACACAGCAGAAGCAGAAGGGACACGGCCAAACTCTTTTTAAAAGGCTACAACTACCTTGGTACCCAACCCACACAAAGACACAACTAAGGAAGAGAAGTACAGACCAAAATCCCTCATGAACATTGATGCAAAAATACTGGCAAATCGACTCCAAGAACACATCAGAAAAATCATACACCATGATCAAGTAGGCTTCATCCCAGGGATACAGGGATGGTTCAACATAAGAAAATCTATCAGTGTAATCCACCATATAAACAAACTGCAAAAGAAAAAACACATGATCATCTCACTAGATGCTGAAAGCCTTTGACAAAATCTAATACCCCTTTATGATAAAGGTCTTGGAGGGATCAGGGATAAAAGGAACATACCTGAACATAATAAAGGCAACATACACAAGCCAACAGTCAGCCTCAAACTAAATAGAGAGAAACTCAATGTTGATTCCTCTAAAATCAGGAAGAAGACAAGGCTGTCCACTCTCTCCATATCTCTTCAATATTGTACTTGGAAGTTCTAGCTAGAGCAGTAAGACAACAAAAGGAGATCAAAGGGATACAAATTGGAAAGTAAGAAGTCAAACTTTCACCATTTGCAGATGATATGATAGTTTACATAAGTGACCCCAAAAATTCTACCAGGGAACTCCTACAGCTGATAAACATCCTCAGCAAAGTGGCAGGATACAAAATCAACTCAAAAAAAAAAAATCAGTAGCCCTACTATATACAAACAATAATTGGGCCGAGAAAGAAATCAGAGAAACATCACCCTTTACAATAGCCACAAACAACATTTTTATCTTGGGGTAACTCTAACCAAGCAAGTGAAAGACCTGTATAACAAGAACTTTGAATCTACCTATCCAAGAGCATGGGAGATCTTTCCATTTTCTGGTATCTTCTTTAATATCTTTCTTTAAAGATTCTGGACAGTCTATGGGACCTCTAGCAGTCAAACCAGTACTTAGTCCTAGTGCACAAATGGACTTTGGGAGCCCATTCCCTATGGAGGAATATTATTGCAGCCCAGATACAGGGAAGAGGGCCTAGGCCCTCCCCCAAATTATATGACAGACTTTGATGATCCCCCATGAAAGGCCTCACCGTCCCTGGGGAGCAAGTGCGGAGTGGGTTGGGAGTAGGGGTATGGGAGGAAGAGGGAAGTGGAGGGGAGTTGATATGTAAAATGATTGCTTCTAAAATGGAAAAAAAAACAGCAATCAGTAATAAAAAGGAACATACTACCAATACATACAACAACAACGCTCACAAACATACTACACTAAATGAAAGAAGCCAGACTCAAGTTTCCATACTATATGACTACATTCTTAACAGAGTTCTTCAGCTGGGTGGTAGAGACTCAGGTCTTTAATACCAGCACTTGGGAGGCAGAGACATGAGGATCTCTGAGTTTGAGGTCAGCCTAGTCTACAGAGTAAATTCCAGGCTACCCAGAGAAATCCTGTCTCAGAGGGAGAAAAAAAAGGAATACTTTGAAAGACAAAGCCACCCAAAACAGATAAGGAATTGTGAAATACTTCGAGGGAGCAGAATGGCATGAGAAGAGTTTGGGGTGGGGTGGGGAAATGCTTTATATTTTATTATAATGACCACATATTAATATTCATAGAAGTGTACATGTAAAATGGGCCATTGTATGGAAAGCATGCTCCAATAAAGTATTTATTGAAAAAAAGAATCGTGAAGAAAAACAGGACAGACTTAGTTAGAAAACTAGCTGTAAGATTCTAACTGTAGCCGGGTGGTGGCGGTACACGCCTTTAATCCCAGCACTCGGGAGGCAGAAGCAGGCCGATCTCTGTGAGTTCGAGACCAACCTGGTCTACAAGAGCTAGTTCCAGGACAGCCTCCAAAGTCACAGAGAAACCCTGTCTCAGAAACACCCTCCCCCAAAAGAAAATTCTAACTGTTTAAATAAGCTCAAAATAAAGTATTACAATTTAGGGTTCTGATGGGGGAAATGTATGTTGTGAATGTTATGTTTCTCTTACTAGTTGATGAAAAAGCTGTTTTGGCCAATGGACAGGCAGGATATAGCAGGCAGGAAGTATAGGCTGGGATACCAGACTAGGAGAATTCAGGGAAGTGGAAGGCAGAGAGTGAGTCATGAGAGGGTCGCCATGTACCTGCCAACGAAGCAAGAGCCTTGGCATCACCAGTAAGCTACGACTACACAAATTAATAGAAATGGGTTACTAATTAAGAGAGAGCTAGCCAATAAGAAGCCTGAACCATTAGCCATATAAGCCTCTGTGTGTTTATTTGGGACTAAACAGCTAAGGGATTGGGCAGGACAGAAACTTCTGCCCATAGGGCTGTCATGATGAAGGAACTTCTTTCAACCTGAGTCTTCAGATTAAAAATGCCTATCAATGTTGTTCTCCACAAGCTGACAGCAAGGCCCCACTGCTGAAGGCAACACCTACACAACTCACTGAAGACGGAGAACCAGTGCATACATAGAGCCTCCACTCCAGCATCTTTAGTACAGGAAAGCAGTCTGAATGCTCTCAGAAGAGAAATGTAAACATCAAGCCAGCCACAAGCCCTTCAACTCCAGTGGGGCACTACCTGCCAGACACGCTATGACAAAGACGGTACAAAGCTGTGGGAGTCCCCAATCAATGTCTGAGTGAAGGCCCACTCTATGAGACCTGACACTGTCCAGGCTGTCCAGGGACTGAGACTAGAGCCCAGGGACCAAGGGTAAAACCAAATATGGTCTAAAAAAGAAAAAACAATACAGTGATAAAATGACTCCTAATGCAAGTCTGCTATATTCCAGGTTAGTGTCTTGTTCAGCCACAATCAGAGAAGCTTCCTCCTGCAGCAGATGGGAACAACATAGAGACCCACAGGCAGACATGACCCAAAGAGAGAGAGAACTTGGAACACTCAGCCCTAAATGGGATGTCTCCATCTAATCCCTCCCCTCAGAGCTCAGAGAACCACATAGAGGAGACGGAAGGAGTGTAAGAACCTAAGGGGATGGAGGACAAGAAAAGCAGGCCCTCTAAACGACATGAGCAAAGCTCCTATGAACTCAGAGACTGGGGCAGCACACAGAGCCTGCATAGGTCTGAATCGGTCCTGTGGGTTCATAGTGTGGCTTCCATTTAGCAGAGCCTGCATAGGTCTGTATCGGTCCTGTGTGTTCATAGTAGGGCTTCCATTTAGTGTTTTTATGGGCGCATGCTAACAAGTAGGTCTCTGATTCCTGTGCCTTCTCATGGGCTCATCTCCTTCTGTTGACTTGCCTTGTCCACCTTTGATGTGACAGATTTTATATTATTATATTGCTACTTTTTAAATGAATGAAAACCTAGCCACTAGGGTTATTGTCCCTTATACCTCTTGGGAGAGGGAAAAATTCAGGTTTTTCCAATAGAGTGACACTAGGTATATCAACCACTCCAGAACAGGCCTTGTATTTAGAAATAACTAACCAACATGTAATGGAATCCACAGTTTTTTGTAGGTGCTTTGATTGGGTTACAGTTTGGTGTGTGTGTGTGTGTGTGTGTGTGTGTTTCTTTTTTAGGTGTGGTTTTATTTTATTTTCTTGATTTGGGGAAGTTTTTGTTGCTGTGTTCATTTTTTTTTCATTTTTTTGTTCACTTTTTAAGAAAGGATATACAGTTGGGTGGGTAAGGAGGGGGAGAAGACCTAGAAGGAATTAAAGGAGGGGAAGAATATGAGCAAAATATATCCAGATTTAAAAACTGCTTTTGCTGGGCAGTGGTGATGCACACCTTTAATCCTGGCACTTGGGAAGCAGAGATAGGTGGATCTCTGTGACTCTGAGACCATTCTGGTCTACAAAGCGAGTTCCAGGACAGGCTCAAAAGCTACAGAGAAACTCTGTCTTGGGAAAAAAAATGCTTTAAATAATAAAAAAATATTATTAAAAAAAAAAGGAGTGGAGTATATGGGGCCCCGGGAGTGGGGAGTAGCTCAGCCTGTGTTAGGGCTGCTGTCAGGACTCGATGAGCTCACAAAGCTAGACTGGGTCTTGGTCAAGGCAGGCTCACATCTGCCTCCACTACCACTGTGACACTGTAGCTGGTGAGCAGACTCTATGACTGCAGCATTTCAGCCTGGGCTTCTACCCTCTTGAGTACACTCTGCTTTTCAGGCTCCCCTCCACTGTACTCAAAGCAGTTTTCAATTGCTAACTGTTTTCAGTAGCTTAGAAATCTAAGACATTTAAGCCGGGCGTTGGTGGCGCACGCCTTTAGTCCCAGCACTCGGGAGGCAGAGGCAGGCAGATCTCTGTAAGTTCGAGACCAGCCTGGTCTACAAAGCGAGTTCCAGGACAGTCTCCAAAGCCACAGAGAAACCCTGTCCCAAAAAAAAAAAACCAAAAAAAAAAAAAAAAAAAAAAAAGAAAGCTAAGAAATTTAGAAGTTAACATTTGCCACCTTAAGACTTTAGCTGCTGCTCTGCAAACAATCTAACACTAATCTTTTTGAAATTATTACAAAAAAAAAACACCTAACAAATTAAAGATTAGATAAATGGGAAAAGATACATACCCTGATACATACTAGCAAAAGGCATGGACTCCAAGAATAAAGAGAAAAATGTTAGATGCTTCTAGAAAGAACAGCAAGAGTAAAATGTGAATTAAATAACAACTCAATAATAGCATAGATGGCATAGGATAAAGAGACAATCACACTGGGTGGTGGTGGCCCACGCCTTTAATCCCTGTACTCCCGGTACTCGGGAGGCAGAGGCAGGTGGATTTCTGTGAGTTAGAGGCCAGCCTGGTCTACAGAGTGAGTTCCAGGACAGGCTCCAAAGGAACACAGAGAAACCTTGTCTCCGAAGCTCAAAAAGAAAAAAAAAAAAAAAAAAAAAAGACGCGTGTATATGGAAGAGGAAAATCGTAAGCAATGATTCTCACAGTATTCGTTTCGTTTGCCTTACCTGGTTTGCAAGATGAGAGTGACCACACAGCTTGAGACCCGATCTCCCTTACGGTGGCACTTCTTTCCAACTGCTTGGGATCAGCACCAGGAGGTGTCTTGTTCGGCGTGGTCATCCTTAAATTATTCTGTGGAGAAACGAGCAATATTCACTGTCCCAAGATTTGACCGTCTTCCTGAAAAAAAGTAAAAACAGAAGTTCAGTGCCCAGTGTTGTGTGTGGCCCATACCTTTAATCCCAGCACTCGGAGGGAGGCTAAGGTAGAGAGAGACAGAAGTTCAAGGCCAACCTGCTCTACACGGTGACCTCCAGGGCTACACAGAGAGACCGTGTCTCAAAACATAAAATAAACAAATTTCAATGGCAAAATAACCACTCATAGTCCCTGCATCCTTCATACCTCTTGTTAATCCTAGGAAACCTATGAAAACATACAAAAAAAAAAAAAAGGTTCTTGGAAAGTTAAGAGTAGGTCGCACTGCTTCGGTAACTCTTACGATTACATTACTGTAACTTCTAAGCCAAACCAATGGACCTATAGACCCGTCCCTTCGGATCCCAAGCGGTCCTTGCAACCGCCACGCAAACAAGTCATCTAAGTAATCACTTAGGCATTATAAATTCCGCTAAATCCTGAATTCCCTGCCCGTCTCGACACCGGAACAGACTAAAACGAACAACCAAACGGACAAACAAAAGGCTAGGAGAAGAACAGTCCTGCAGGAGCCGCGGGCTGGACCCCCCAGCCTGACGCCGCTAGTCCACCAACCAGGTCGGCTAAGGCTCCGCCCCAGGACCACCAGGCCGGAGGAGACGGCAAACCCCACGAAGAACGGGGAGGAGGACTCCTCGGCACCCGCCAAGTCGGTTCTCGAAACCGAGGGGGAGCCGCGCGCTCACAAACCTGGTCGGCCGCAAAGCCGCTGCCGCCACTCCCACCCGCGCGGCTCGGGGGGGGTCTCCCGGGCGCCCTCCGTTCGGTTGGGTCGCGGCGCGATGACGTCAGAGGCGCCCTCTCGCCCGCCCTCCGAGGCCGTGCTTCTGCCGCGCACGCGCACGCCGCCCTCATCATCCCGCCCCCCCCCACCCCGCCCCGCTCCTTGCGCGAGGCGGCGGCTGTGCGCCGCCATCTTGGCCGGCGGCGGTAAGAACACGTTGTGCGGCCGGGACGGGAACGGGACGGGACGCCCAGCGCCGATTGCTGCTACTGCTGCTGCACGCCTCGCCGTGAGGGGACCGTCGCCTCCAGGTACGCGGGGGTGTGTACTGTGTGTGTGCGGGGGGTGAGGGTTGGCGCCGGGCCGCCTGGGCAAGCTCGGAGCGCCCGCGCTGAGGCCTCCCGCCGGGGACCGGGGCGCGCGGCCGCCGGTGCCGCCCAGCGCCCTCCATCCGGGGCTGCCGGGGTGGGGTGGGCGCGGCCCCCCTCGCGCGTCTGCGCGGCCGCCCCGGCCTCCAAGCCTGCAGACGCGGCCCGTGGCTCCCCGCGGAGCCCCGTCTCTCGGACGGACGGACGGACGGGCAGCGGCCATGCGGCGGGAACTCGCGGGTCTCCTGAGCCTCGCAGCCTCGGGTGAGGGCGGAGCGAGTCCGCCGGGAAGCCCCGGTTCCGTCGACGTAAACGACGGTCCAGCTGGCTGCTTTTTTTTTTTCCTCGCCGAGCGACGCGTGCTCGGTCGGGGGCCGGAGTTGGCCCCAGTGGGTGAGTGGGTGGGTGGGTTTCCGCGTGGAAGGCCCGACCCTGGGGCTTTGGAGGGGCGGCTTCGCGGCACTCCTCCCCCTTCCCGTCGGTGGCTTGAGCTGTTTGGTCGTCTGTTTCATCTCGGGCTTCTTGGCATCGGGGCTGCTGCGCCTCGATTCAAAATAATCTGTAGGTGGTCTTTCTAGGGTGCGGTAACGAGTGCGTTGTTGGCGTTTGGTATTTGTTGCGAGCGAGTGGCGGCCAAAGCTGAATGCCTACACCCCGTGGGTTACAGATTGTATTGGTTTACCTTTTCTTCCCAGAGACTATTAACTAGGGAGTTAGGATGGTAGCATCTGTGTTGCAGTCACTGGTCCTGTATGCTGAAGTAATCGTCCTGTGTTGATAGTTATAGTACAATCGGAAGCTCTCTCTCTGTGTGTGTGTACCAAAAATGCGTTTGAGGTTTTATGTTTTTAATTAAAGTAGCTTAGCTCACCTTTACAAACAAAACTGACTGACATTTGTTTTAGAAAATTTACTACTTGCTGAAAGGCACGCCATTAAAAATCAAAGCTGTGTGCCTTTCCCCACTTGCTACGCTTTATAAGGCTGCTTTACAGTAAGCGTAGGTCATAATGTTTCATGTGATCCTAGGCTGTAGGTGTTTCCCATGTGTGTGCCTCACGTCCATTTTTCACTCACCATCGACTTAATAGTGCCTGTTTTGAGCAGTCTGCCTTCAGATCTGAAATACCTTCAAATCGGTTTGTTATCCCAAAAGTTTATCGATATAAACCTCCTCTTCAAGCTTTCCTGTGCCAAGTTCTTACCGGAAAGAGGGACTTCTTTTCCCTGGCTCTTGGGAATAACATGGGAGCTGCACACATAGTGTTTGCCTATGTTACTGTCATACAAAGAATCTATATCCGTTTTTCTCAACTGTAAAATAATTCATCATTATATGTGAATCAACTTTATTAACCACCTCTAGCATGTTTCTGTTCCCCATAAAAATTATATATTAATAATTTGAAAATTAGGTACTTTTAGTAGCTTAACAAAGACCAACATGAGCAGTTTCATAGTGAAAGTTGTTAAATCTCTGAAAAGGAATTCATTTGCCAAGTAATTTGTTTAAGAAACATTTTTTTATTTGTATTGGAAAACGTAGTGCCCAGTTTACTAGTCGCTTTGTTAAAATAATAAACTTCTTGGAAAAATTACATGGTTTGGCTTGGGGTTTTAAGTTAACTTTAAGGTAAAGTAAAAGCATTTAATCTCTTCTAACTTAGGAGACATGAGTCAGTTTTTAAAGAAGTGGCCTTGTCAGCATAGCTCTGTAAGGTTTTATTTTTTCATTAATAGTTGAGCTTAGCTCAACTCTGCCAAAACAAAGTAGAGCATTTACCAGTTTGAAAGGAAGTGGTCTGTGATAGTCTATAATTGATGAAAGCATTTGGGTCAGAGAGGAGGAAGAGGAAATAGTCTAGGGCAGTAGTGAGGAGCAAGATTGCTTATGTCCCTCCAAGTCTAATCATATTAATGGCTATGTTGGACAGGATCGTAGAAAAGGGCAGCAAAATATCTTTGCAAATGGATAGTCCTGGCACTGTTAGGATTTACTCCCTTTAGTCACATGAGGGAATTAATGTCAGTGCACCAAATCCAATATCATAAAAGATGGTTAAATCTGCCTCGATCTAAATTCTGTGTAGATGTTATATATCAAGACTTAGAAAAGTCTTGAAAGCCTGATGTATATGCATGGTGAATCGCTGCTAACATAAAACCTGGACAGTAGTAACATGATGGCCACAGCTCTGTTTGTCCCTCCATCAGTAGTAGTCATTGTAGTGAATTGGAAAAGAAAGCGAACTAATGATTGTTCATAGGAACAAAGAAGAAACATCTTTAGATGCTGCATGTGTATCTGTTTTCATGAGTAGTCCATTTTATAAGTTTGTATTCATACAGTGGTATCAGTATTAATTTGTCAAAGTGTAAGCTTCCATCCTTGCTGTTTTAATAATCCTAGTTACTCTTTTTCCATAGACCTTCAGCTTTGGTTTCTTTGACATATTTTTTTTTTTACCCAAGAGATTTGTATATATAAATTTTGGAAGAATTAAATTTTTGAAATAGCCAGGCATTGGTGGCACACACCTTTAATCCCAGCACTCGGGAGGCAGAGGCATGCGGATCTCTGAGTTCGAGACCAGCCTGGTCTACAAAAAAGCTAGTTCCAGGACAGCCTCCAAAGCCACAGAGAAACCCTGTCTCAAAAATCAAAAAAAAAAATTTTAAATAAACTATTATAAAAACTAAGAACATATTTTATTTGGTTAGATCTTTTGGAATTTAGTGTTTTTGAGTATTTTCCTGTGAATGTGTATAAGTGTATTCCTAGGTGGGTGGGTGTGCTATTTTAAGTGGCACCTATTTCCTACTCTAAATTCATTGTGTAATTTTTTCCCAACCGAATAGATTATTGTGTTGTTCCTAATCATTTTTTAGTGTTCCAAATAAGCATATAAGCTCCATATGATTATTTGTGTCCTTTTTATGCCCATTAATTATTTCTTTTTATGTGATTATATTGAATTTGTTATAACTTTGTTCATTTTTCTTTAATAGGAGAGCCGGATATTCTTTATTACAATTATGGCAGACAAATTAACAAGAATTGCTATTGTCAACCATGACAAGTGCAAGCCTAAGAAATGTCGGCAGGAATGCAAAAAGAGTTGCCCTGTTGTTCGGATGGGTAAGCAGTTCTGTAGGCCATCTAAGGTTAGACAGTGGCTTGGAAAAACAAACTGGTGTGAGAGCTTTGTAGGAGCTTTAGCTTAGTCTAAGCTTCTACTAGTTTGTAGCTAAATGGTCCTGTTAAAAGAACTTATAGAGTGTCATTGTTAAGATATTCACTAAATATGAGAAAAAGTCAAAGCAAAAGTTAACTGCCGTCTTAGTTATTCTACAGAATTCTATCGTTGAGTCACAGGGAAAGGATTGCCAGAATCTTTACAGTAGATGTTATTTTCATCTTGAAACCGATCAATAAATAAGTTTAAACTTAATGACAGTCATTTTGTGGTGTTTTGCTAGATGTTCAGGACTAAGTAAATCTAGGGAGCTGACAATTGTTGGTGGCCTTTTAGCATTGGCCACATGACTACTGCCTTGTAGTAGTGGCTTCTAAACTTTAGATAGTATCTGGTAATGTCTCCTGTGCCTCCCAGAAACTCAGTTGTTGATGTCTCAAATGCTGTGCTTCATAATACCTATGTGCTAGAAAACTGCATAGCTTTTTGGAGTTTCATTTACCTAACCAAAATACTTTATTTCTATCTATGGTGTGCCTTTCCATTTCTATGACATGCTTTCTTTTATGAGTTAAAGAGTCAGTGCATTCAGGACTCTGGGGTTGCTGCCAAAACAAATTTAAGCCAGCATTTAAATACAATAATATTTCAAGATTTACCATAAGAACAATATATTGGCCATTTACTTATTACATAATTAATAAACCTGGTTGTTTAATTTAGAAAGTGTTTCATCAAACACTTAATTTAAGAAATTATATTTGTCGTTGAAACTTTTGTATTGATTTCCAAAAGCAGCATTTTCTGAATAACAATCTTCAAAGTGTTCTGATAAAGGACATTATTTTCTTTGCCAGGAAAATTATGTATAGAGGTTACACCCCAGAGCAAAATAGCATGGATTTCTGAGACTCTCTGTATTGGTTGTGGTATTTGTATTAAGGTAAGTGATAATATTTTATTACGCCCAATAAAATAAAATCTGAAAATTCTAAGTACTTTATTTTTTAAAAGACAAAAATAGGCTGGGCGGTGGTGACCCACACACTTGGGAGGCAGAGACAGGCGGATCTCTGAGTTCCAGGCCAACATGATGTACAGAGTGGGTTCCAGGACAGGCTCCAAAGCCACATAGAAAAGCCCTGTCCCGCCAGGCAGTGGTGGTGCAGGCCTGTGTTGGGGTGCCCGTGCTGTGGAGGTTGGAGGACAATGCAGATGTCCGTTCTTCTACCATGTGGGTTCCGGGGATCGAACTCAGATTACCAGACTTGTCAGTGAGCACCTTTACCCCAAACCAAACCTACTTTACTTGATCTATTTGAGAGTTCCAGTGGTCTTTAATGATGGTGAGACAGTAGGGTTCTCCACAGCAGCTTCTCTCCCTCTCTTGTTGCCAGGATGGGATTCTTTACTCTCTGCAGGTCCATCATGCTGCTGTAGCCAAATCATAGCCATACCTAGGAATGAGCTTAACAGAGAAGTTGCTGAGACCAGTTTCAGCTTCCACATCAAACATGAAAGAGTGTTGGTGTTAAAGTCACAAGGAACAGCCTGGTTCTCATTAAACCCAGGATGGATGCCCGTGAGGCCTCCCTCTGATGTCGGCTACGCTGCCTTCTTGCTGTCATCGCATTTGTCAGCTTTCTCCAGGTGGCAGGTCAGATCTACCATGGGCATGTTGGGAATAAGAATGTGGAAGGTCAGACCAGTGAGCATCCTGTTCAACTCTGAGTGACTGCCCAGGCTTAGTGGAGCTATTAGATGCAGAGATGAGATTTTGGGCAGCCCCACGGCTGTCATCACAGTTTCCCAGAGAGGCTGTCTATAGTCTTCTGGGTAGCAGTGATTAGCATGGACTGTGGTCCTGAGTCCCTTGGTGATACCAGACTTGTCATGGATGACCCTGGCAAGGGGCACCAAGCAGTTGGTGGCAGAGACATTACTGACAATCTTGTGAGTTTTTCATCCTTACCATGGTTAATGCCCATCATGAACATGGGGACCATCAACCGAAGCAGCAAAGATGATAAATAGCCTTTTCAACTCCACCTTTCAAGTGAACTCTGGCCTTCGGAATAATGAAGATAACGGTTGGACCTCAGCACAAGGTCACCGTATTTGGTGTTGGTAGATCACATTCCGGAAGTTTGTAGCAAGGCTTTGCCAGAATATTCTGGAAATAAAGTATAACTGACATACTTTCTCAAGTCTACTTATTTTTGTTTTGAGACTGAGCTAATTAGGTCCAGATGGCCTGAAACTTGCTCTGTAGACCAGGCTAGCCTTCAGCTCAACAGAGATCCTCTTGCCTCTGCCTCCTGGGTGCTGAGATTAGAGGAGTGAACCACCACACACCTGGGCACCTGGCACGAGTTTATTTAATTTTAAAGTTACCATTCTCAAGTAGAAATGTAACAAAAAAATCTTAGGTTTAATCTACAAATGCTTTGCTGTATCTTATAATTTTAAGCATGTTAAATATTGTTACATAGAATAATTGACTTTTGACTTATTATATATAAGAGGCATTTAGTATCCGTTCTTAGATATTTTTGTTTTTAGGCAATATAAAATGGAACTTCACCAGAGTATGGATATTTCCCTATGAATTGTTCATATAAACCATCGATATATTTTATATTGGTTATTGAAACCTTATTTAAATACATGGATCCTGAAAACGTGTTCTTTATTTTGCAAATATAAACATGAGATACTACTGGTAAATATTTACTGGTCATTTGTCATGTGTGCCTACCCATATGGTTGGTGTTAGGGATCTGGTATGAGCACTACAATGTCATCTGTTGTATTTTCTTTTGGATGCTGGGAGAAAATAACATTCCAAATTTTTAGATAAGCATCTGAATGCCTAAAAACACTAATTAATAAATTCTTAGTAATGGAGAAGATAACATACTCATCCTGAGCACTGAGTAGTCCACATTATTTATAAGTGATGGGTTTCTTTTCCATGTCACATCGCAGTTTAAAATCACCTTCAGCTTGCTGGCATTTTTTATACATTGATGAAAAGAGGAGGGTAGAAAACACGGTTGTAAAAATTTAGCAGTATAGCTAAGGGGCAGAGATTATTAGAAAATAAACTTTATTGTGTTTTCATTGTTTGAAATGAAAATTCATTGAATTCTCTGAGTCAGTTCCCTGAATGTAGTGAACATATCTGCAGATCGGTGTTCTAATCTGACCTTGTACTTCCGGCTGTGTCTCCGTCATTGTCTATACTTTAGCCACGTTATGAGTTTTTTTCTTTAAGTGTGCATGTATGTGGGTGGATAGGTGTGGGTGTGGAGTCAGCGTCTTTCTTGGTTGCAGGGTCTCTGACTAACCCTGGGCCTCACTGTTCTCTCTAGACTAACAGGCCAGCAAGCCCCCGGGATCTTCCTGTTGTGCCTCCAGCTCTGAGGTTTTAGGAATAGACTGCCACGCCTGGCTTCTTATCTGAGTGCTGGGGAGATGTCTAAACACCACTTCCCGTAGTGACTTTCTTAGACTTGACATTCTTATTCCATGCACTTATCTGATAGTCTTGAATAAGTTAACAAGAAAGCATTAAGCTTTGGTATGATATGTAGGCTATCTATTGGTAGGATAGAAGTAGCTCTCATCCCCCAATCCAAACACCGAAAGAGAGTTTACCTAATGTAGGAAAGACACAAAGGAGGACAGGAATAATTCAAGGGAAAGAAAGCATCTGTTATAGACAGTTTATGGAAAGCATTGAGCCAGTAGTGTCTAATATATAATTGCTAATGTCAGTCATGAAGAATATTAAATTTGTCAATACAGCCTTCGTCTCTAAGGAACTTGACTTTTATTTTTAAGTAAATGAGATACAAATTATTTTTCATTTGTAAAATTCCTGCTTGGAACATTTCAATAAAAATATCCCTAGTCCATTTGAAAAATGTATTTATAAGTTAATATATCATTCTTTCTTTTAAATAACAGAAATGCCCCTTTGGCGCCTTATCAATTGTCAATTTGCCAAGCAACTTGGAAAAAGAAACAACACATCGATATTGTGCCAATGCCTTCAAGCTTCACAGGTATATTCCTCTTTACTTCAGTTGAGGGTAAAATTCCCTTAGAATTTTCAGAGAAATTGAAGAAAATTTGATAATGAGCATCTACCAAAGAGTAAGAGAATATTATAAAATATAAGGTTATTTTTATATGTCAGCAGTTGCTGGGCATGGTGGCACATGCCTTTAATCCCAGCACTCGGGAGGCAGGTGGAACTCTGAGTTTGAAACCACCCTGTTTCGCAGAATAAGTTATAGGACAAGCTCCAAAGCTAACACAGAAACCCTGTCTCAAGAAACAACAACCAAAAAAGCTGAGCCTTAACTGTAAAGAAAGATGTGGGATGTTATTGATTAGTTACTCTTGGCTGTTCCCCTCCCCCCAGTAATACCTAGCGTATTTCTTAACTTATTAATGGATGGATATCTGTAACATGCAAGTGCTTTTGAAGTACATCATTCTACTATTGTGTGCCTTCTATCTAATACCATGGTTTTGGTGTTTTTGTTGTTTTCTGGTATTTTAATAGGTTGCCTATCCCTCGTCCAGGTGAAGTTTTGGGATTAGTTGGAACTAATGGTATTGGAAAGTCAACTGCATTAAAAATTTTAGCAGGAAAGCAAAAGCCAAACCTTGGAAAGTATGATGTATGTATTAACCGACAATAAAAATTAATATCTGGGTCATTTATGTAATTTTTGAAAAGGATGTGTATAATTTTTTCTGATGTTATTTTTAAGTTAATTTGTGGGGTTAAAGTTTGAAGGTGAGCATTGTATGGACCAGGTTTGGTTTGTTTGTTTGTTTTATTTATTTATTTTAAGACATGGTCTTACGATGCAGCCTCAGAGGACCTTGAACTCAAGTCCTCTTGACTCAGATTCCCAATAGTGGGACACATTACAATGTGTGGATTCCGTTCTTTGTTCTTGTTGTTATCATTTGTTTGCAGTTTTGTTAGTTTGTTTTGTGTGTGTGTGTTTTAAGTCTCATATACCATCCTTTCTAAATAAGATCTGTTGCCTGAAAATTCATAGTTCACTTAAACTTTTGAATTAGTATACCTTGATTTGAAACTAAGTCTATTTCCATGAGTTAGTAGTCGTCATTTGATACATGTTTATTATTTAACATCCATCTCTTTTTATATTTTTATCTTAAATTCTTGTAACAATAATATTTATTTCTAGGATCCGCCTGATTGGCAAGAAATTTTGACTTATTTCCGTGGATCTGAATTACAAAATTACTTCACCAAGATTCTAGAAGATGATCTAAAAGCCATAATCAAACCTCAATATGTAGATCAAATTCCCAAAGCTGCAAAGGTCAGTTGGTTTATAGTGAGAGACTATATATTAAAGATTATTGGTAGAAAAAGAAAGGTTATATTAAAAAATAGACTTGTTATACTTTGTGACTTTTTAATGCTAAAGAAAAATTGTAATAATTTTCTGTTATGATAGGGGACAGTGGGATCTATTTTGGACCGAAAAGATGAAACAAAGACACAGGCAATTGTATGTCAGCAGCTCGGTAAGTAGTTGAGTACATGGTTTAATAGATTGCATTTGGTCATAATCATCTTTATGTGGGTTGCTGAATTCATGAGGAAAGCTTTCATAATTATCTTATTGCTGCTACACAGTTTTAAACTGGAATATCACTCAAACCCAGAGTACTGGCATGCAGTGTGCATTTTGCCCAGAAGAGGTGAACTGGAATTTATACCATTGAACACAGTGCTTCTGATTCTTTGTAGATTTAACGCACCTTAAAGAACGAAACGTTGAAGACCTTTCAGGAGGAGAGTTGCAGAGATTTGCGTGTGCTGTCGTTTGCATACAAAAAGCTGATATGTAGGTTACTTTACACTTTCTGTTATCTTAATCTTTGTGAATTTGCGTTTGTAAAGCTGCTAATACATCAATCTTGAAAGGAATAATTAGTAAAGATACAAAGCTCTGATTTGAGGAAATATGTTAGAGCAGTTGTATATCCATTACCCATTTTCCCTGTATGAGGGCCAAGGCAGGGAAATTGTTTGTTCTTAGGAGGAGTTATTTATGCCGTACAGCATCCAATGTTCAAAGCGTAAGCTCTCTACCTGGTCAGTAAGCTTTCTAAATACTGAGTAAAAGGTGGTCTTTAGACTGGTTGCATTCAGAATTGACGTGCTGTGTGAGGGAGAAATGGAATAGAAGGCAGGTCTCTTTCCTACTTCCTGGTATCTCCCTCCTCATATCTGTTGCCTCCGTATTTTTCCACCTTTCAAGCCCCTTCTTCTCACAAAGTACTCTGTGAAACTGCATGAGGAACAGTCTGCTTTAAAGCCTTTGAACTTGGGGCCAGTGAAATGGCTTAGCAGAATGAATAGGTGCATGCCACCAAGCCCTGTCACCTAAGTTCAGTTCCCCAGACCCACAAGGTAGAAAGAGAAACAACTCAGGCAAGTTGTTCTTTGACCTCCTCATGAAGAGAGTGATACCCGAAACACACACACACACACACACAAAATAAATACAGTTTAAGAGCAAAAAGAAAGGGGCCTTCAAACTACTTCAGAATGTACCAAAGTATTTTTCATAATCTTCAAAGCTCTCCTCAAATTTGTAGGTATGCATTTCTTCCTTTTGTGATTGTTGTCTTCTTCCGAACAAAAGACAAAATCTTACCCTTACAGTTTGCCTCCTTTCATTGGTATGTGAAGATTTTAATTCTGTTAAGTCAGCCATTGTTGTGCTGCATAAAGAGTGTATGGTGGAATTATTGTATATGTTCTGAGCATACTTGCTTTTGTTTTTTCTTAGTTTTATGTTTGATGAACCTTCCAGTTACCTTGATGTCAAGCAGCGTTTAAAGGCTGCCATTACTATTCGATCTCTAATAAACCCAGATAGGTAAGTATAGATCCAGTACATTTCTGTGTTCCTTTGTTGAGAGAATTTTATGGATGTTTAAAGATTAAACATTTTCATGGTTTTCATCTTGATCATTTGTAGCAACCACCAGAATCTGCCTTCTTCTATCCTGGAACAAAGATTCTTAGTGCAAGATTTGTTTATTGGTAACTCGAATTCTGTGTAGAGTTTAAATTTTATGTGTATGTGTTAGGGGGAAAACGTCTTAGTTTTTACTAGATCTCAACTGCAGATCTCAGTCTTGTACATATACAGCACACATACTTAAAAGATAATCACCAGAATTGTGTTTTGGTATTTACAGTCTCACTGAACAGAAAAAGAGTTCTTAAGCAACTTCTGTAATCGAGTCATAATACCATGTGTTGAGTTTGTAATTTTAAAAGCAGCTTGAGAAAGAGAGATACCGTGCAGCAGAGCTCACATGGTGGTTTGTTTTTGGTTTTTTTGTTTGTTTTTTTTTAATTAGGGGAAGGGAGAGACCGATCTCTGGGGACAGGAGCTGCAGAAGAAAAAAGAGAAGGGGATGGGGACACAGACATGCAGAGAAGCAGAAAGAGAAAGATGGGAAGTGGCCAGGGCCCTCTTAGAAGGGAAAGTAGTGAATAGTGAATGTGCACGGGTGGTGCTCTTAGTGGCTGCAGGTGAGGGCGTATCCTGTCAGAACCCCAAGGACAGGCCAGTACAGATGTACTGACATTAAGTATAGTGCGTTTCAATTTCCAGAGTCTCTTAATTCATCGTTGCCCTTTACTTCTAGTAATTTTATTGCATCTCTAGGTAGATTTCACATTGTGCAGTTGAGGGAGCATGTGATCTAAAGAGCTTGCTATTCAGTGAAGCAGATTTATTTGACAAGACTATGACCAGACTATGAGAGGATTTTGGTACTATGATGTCTCTCTTTAGTTACTGATTTGATAAACATTGTTTCAAGATACAGAAGTATCAGAAAACAAAGGGATAACTCTGAGAGATCCTGCTTTTCAGACATTATTGGTGTCTATAATGTTGGTCATGGGTTTTAATGCCCTCTGAGATGGAAGCTTGCTTGCTTCTTGTATTGGATTATCACACATAATATGGCAAGACTCTGAACTGTGGCTTAAAAGCAAAAAGGCAAATTGGAAACATGTTACCCATCAGGAACTAGAAATGCCCAGGAAGTACATTGGAATCAGAGTGATGATTTCCCTTTAATTATGTTTTTGTGCAAACAGGTCATATAGCTATAGAATTGAAATGTACTGAACCAGTGAAGTTGATGAGACCTTCAGAGTGAGAAAGTAGTATAAGGAGTCTTGGAACTTCTAGCCTTATGGTGTGTATAACAATGCATTTTGGCGGGCTATGCCCTCAACACTGATTATATAAAGTTTTACAGGTAAAAGGGAACATGAGCTTAGCTCTCAGAAAGCTTAAAAGGCAACCATTCCTAAACTTAGTCAATATACATAACAAGATACCAGTGTTAGCATTTCATTTTACATGCTAAAAGAGCTTCTAAAATAATGCAAAACACTTTGAACCCCGAAGAATAGGGCTGGAGAGATGGCAGTTAAGGGCACTGGCTGCTCTTCCTAGCAAACCACATAGTAGCTCCCAACCGTCTGTAATGAGATCTGGCCTGCAAACATACATGCAGACAGAACACTGTATACATAATAAATAAATCTTAAAAAAAAAAAAAAAGAAAGGAAAACTAGGAAATTGTAACACTACACCCAGCAATGATCTATGTTTTACTTTTCCTTTTTTTTGGTTTTCCGAGACAGAGTTTCCCTGTATTGTTTTGGAGGCTGTCCTGGAACTCGCTCTGTAGACCAGGCTGGCCTCGAACTCACAGAGATCCGCCAGCCTCTGCCTCCCAAGTGCTGGGATTAAAGGCGTGCGCCACCAACGCCGGCAGAAACTCTAACTTTTAAATTAGAGGCATTGAAGGGATTTTAGAACTGATAAAAGCCCTAGCTCCTCCAACAGAAGCTCAGTACAGCATCAGTAACACTTCACATGTTTTGATTGAACCTACAAATATACCAGCAGAATCTGAACTGTTCAAACACTTTACTTCATACACGTGATTGGGCATTAGAACACATGCTTGAACGTTGTAATAGTCTTTAGGAAGAAACAGTATGAAAACATAATCCTGGTTTTCTTAAGAACTTGACAGTATGGTAAAGAAAAGAATATATATGTATCCTGATCTTAGTTTCTAATCCAAGTTCCTTTTAGTCATAGATCATATCTACTTTGATCTATGATTTTTAAGTATCAAATAATGTAACTTTAATAAAAGAAGAGCTAAAAGGAAAACAATGGCATTTCATGGTGTAGATATTCAGGCACAAGACATCGCACTTATACTGAGTGACATTAAAAGATTTTAAGTACAACAGGGTAGTACCTTAATTCTAACAGTGATAGCATGTTAAGACAAATTCAGTTAACCAAGCAGAAACAGCTGCATCAATCTCCTGTATATTGGTTGAGTTAACGTAATCCTGTGTGAGCCTGGCTGTGGTGGCACACACCTTTGCTCCAGCACTCAGGAGACAGGCAGCGGGATCTCTGAGCTCAAGTCACCCTTGTCTACAAGATCCTGGATAACCAGAGCTGTTAAACAAAGAAACCATGTGTTGGGGGGGGTGAAAGTAATCCATTTATGATTATAGATTGGTGGTCAACAGCTAAAGAAAGTGTATCTTCATTCTGAAACTGTCAAAGCATGCATTCAGTCACTCAGTGCTATCAAAAAACTGAAGATCATATCCTTCAAGAAAAAAAAAAGTAAGAAATCCAAAATAAACTAGAACCTTTGTATTGTATACATTATCCATATTTTTCAGCCCAGATTTCTTAGTTGGGTACACAGATGGTGTCTTCTGCAACAGAAAATTTTTGATTTCTAAGTTAGTTCATTTAAATTCAAGAAATGCAAGAGATTTCAATAAGTAAAAGGAGTTTTAAGAGTAGGAAAAATTCATTTGCGTATTAGGAAAAGTATTCCTGTGGTGAATAGGATTTAAAATGGATTAAAATAGAAGCTGAGTCTATTTTAATGAATGAAAATTGTGGCAGGCATCTAGGAAGGGATGGTCCTTAAACATACAAAACAGAGGAAGGGGTTATTGAGGGGTGGACTTCATTTTGTAAATTTGTGTGTGTGTGCATAAATAGTAACAGTAACATAGGTGAAGTCAGCCAGGTAGTGGTAGTGCACACCTTTAATCAGAGCAATTGTGAGACAAGGTCAGGCCAATCTCTGGCGTTTGAGGCCAGCCTGGTCTACAGAGCAGGACAGCCAGGCTACACAGAGAAACCTGTCTCAAAGAACAAACAAACAGGGCAACACGAAAAGATAGGTGAAGTTGTAAAGACTCTTGAAAGTCTGAAAACTGGGATTTGTTGACATGTGGTAATCTTGAAGGCTTATGACGAAATCCTGACTTAGAAGTTAGACAGAAGAAGAACATGATAAATTGCTGATACAAGACTGGGCAGGGAAGAATTCATACAGTTGGCAATCTTAGCAGTATCAAGGGGAGTAGAATTGGTCGCTTTGTGAGAGTGGCTTTGTATTGATACAAATGAGAACTTGGCTTGTGCAGGACGCTGGTGTTTGAGGTATGTGGTAATAAAGTGCTACAAGGAAGGGTTAGGACTACGTGTGTGATAGACAATGTCAGCAATTACTTCCTAAGTCATCTTAGTTGAGTCTATCCTGACCTTCCTATTACCCCACCTTATTCTTAAAGCCCTGTCTTGCTTACTGACTTCCTTTATGAGCTGCACTGGATCTCATGCTCTGCATTGTACTTGCCACGTAATCTTTTGCATGGCAGTCACTTTGATACTATTCACTCTGCCCCAGTTAAGTTCAGAATTCTTAGATGGTCAGTATTCTTAGGTAAGAGACTCTGCTTAGTCTTTCTTTGCATATTCCATATTATGAGACAGGACATTGTAAATCTTAAATGTAGAAGTAGAACGTTGAAGTGTTCAAACAACTAAGCATTCTAGACTGTATTTGAATTTAGTATTATTATTCCACTTTGCAAAGTTTACATTATTAGAATGTTTCTTTTTAGCAAGACATGCTTATTTCATATACTTGTAAACCCTGTGTTACAAATGGTTTTTCTTTTAGCAGAGGAAAACTTTTGTTTTTCCAAGACAGGGTTTCTCTGCGTGGCCCTGACTGTCCTGGAACTCACTCTGTAGACCAGGTTGGCCTCAGACCTCACAGAAATCCACCTGCCTATGCCTCCCAAGTGCTTGGATCAAAGACGTGCACCACCACCTCCTGTCTAGGAAAACATTTTAAATGTGAACATTGATAATAATGAGTCTTGTATAAGAAAATATTTTAGGCTTTACTTTGTTCTTTTACACTTTTTAATTCTGCTTTTTAAAATTTACAACTGTAATAAAAGGAAATACATGAGTCTTAGCTAATGATGTTATGCTAAATTTAAAAATAAAAGTCTGTCTTGCTTTCCAGATATATCATTGTGGTGGAACATGATCTAAGTGTATTAGACTATCTCTCTGACTTCATCTGCTGTTTATATGGTGTGCCGAGTGCTTACGGTGTTGTCACTATGCCTTTTAGTGTAAGAGAAGGTAACTTTTAAACAAACCCATTCCCATGTTGTAGCCTCTTCTCTAATGCCTAGAAATGGATTACTGTTGATATTCAGTACTTTTGCACTGCTCTAATATGTTGTGACACTGATATGTTGTAATTTAACCATTGAGGAGAGTGAAGTGTATTGTAAAGCTATACACAGTTACAGAAAACTTTTTCTTAGAATTTTCTGCTGGGAGAATAAAAATGCATTTTTTTTTATTTTTTGTGATCATGAGTCTTTACATTTTGCCTTATACAGTACTTATATTCTTAGCAAGCTATCACATTTAGTAAAATTCTTAGAAGTCATTCTTACTCGTCTGTTTTCATACTTCAAATTTGTCTATAATCCTTATCTCGTGTTTGACAGTTAGGCTCTGTAAAATCTACTGATGTAGTTTAATGTTTTTAAATAAATAATTTTGAGAAATAAATTTACAGTATATCAAAGCCTTTTCATAAAAACGAATTGGCAGTTTCTATAATTTATAATAAGTATGTCAATAGTTTAGAATGTGAAGAGATTTTCATAACATATATTAGGATGAACAGCTCTGTATTTTAAGGAAAACTTGGTGAGGTTGCTCCAGTTTTCTGGCCAGTACCCTTGGTTTTTTAGACAGGATCTCCCTATGTAAGCTCAGGTGGCCTTGAACTCACTGAGCTCCTCCGCTGGGATTGAAAGTGTGCCACCACGCCCAGCTAATTACCAGTAATTACCCGGAGAAACTTTTTAATTAGGGGTTGTGACCTCCAAGATGGCTTAGTGGGTAAAGACACTTCATGCTTCGCCTAACGACCTGAGTTGAGTACCCAGAACCCCACATAGTGATAGGAGCAAAGGTGACTTCAAAGTTAGCCTTTCCCATGCACACACTTCAGATAATGAAAGAAAGAAAGAAATACTAACAGGGCACTGAGGGCCTGGTGACATGAGTGCCCAGAGAGCACTGACTACTCCACGGGGTTGCCTTCTGACCTCCACGTGCACACTGGCATGCATGCAAATACATCAACATATACATGAAATAATAATAACATTTCTCACTGATATTAGACCTAAATTTATTTTTGCAGGAATGTTTTTGTTTTGGTGGAGTAGTTCTAGTTTACTTTTCCTTCGGGTAGGGTTTTGTTTTTTTTTTTTTTTTTTTTTTTTTTTTTTTGGTTGGTTGGTTGGTTTTTCGGGATAGGGTTCTCTGTAGCTTTGGAGCCTGCCCTGGAACTCACTCTGTAGGCCAGGCTGGTGTCAACTCACAGAGATCCACCTGCCTCTGCCTCCCTAGTGCAGGGATTAAAGGTGTGTTCGACCAACGCCTGGCCAAAGTCCCTTCTTTTATTGGTAAATGAAGCTCTTAGACTTAAGTTTTCTTCACCAGAGGTTTTGAGTTTAATTTTCTAACTGTACATTGGTACTTTTGTCATTAAGAATAAGACGGTTCCTATTAGAAGAGTAAGTTCTGTCATTCAGGCTGAGCTAAAGTCCCTTACGTGGATGGCTCTTAGTCCAGAAGGAGTGACAACTGTCCTTCTGCTCTGCTGCTCTGTCTCCACCTTTCCTTCTGTGTACTCAAGTAACAGTCTTTATTTTGTTTGTCTGCCATCATGAAGGCTCTACTCTTAATAGAGAAGGCTTAATACAATGTCTACTTCATCTACTATAAAACACTCCAGAGAACAGGGAAAAGAAAAGTGTATTTAATGAAATTAGTTCATTTTAGTTTCTTAAAAAACTATAAAATTAATAAGAAAAAATATTCCATTCTTATGTCCTTGACTTTTTTCTGAGAAAATGACTTTTTAATTTGCATTTGCACATTTACCTTGTGTGGGTATTGTGATCACACGAATGACAGCAGTGTTTATGGGGGCAGAGGGAAACTTCCAGGGGCAGGTGCTCCTTCTACTCTGGGCTCTAGTCTTGAACTCAGGTCATCAGGCACTTTTACCCAGTGAGCAATCTTCCTGACCCAAAATAACAGTTTAATATACGGACACTATAATATGTTCACAAACTTTTTAAACTGAAGTTGTAGCTCACACTGGCAGGAAGGGATTCATTTCAGTTTTGGTGGTGGAATGACCTCATAATGTAGCCAGGCTAGTTTCATATTCTAACAGTCTTCTAACTTGGATTATAGGCACCAGCCACCTTGGCCAGCATACTTACATTGGTGAAACACAGAGTATTGACTTTTGATTATAATTCGGGCTTGAATATATATACAGATAGAAGATATGGAGTGTGCAAGTATTATCTCCCCCCAAAAAATAAACATAGGGTTAATCTTTATTTTAGATTTATATTATTTATATTTTCTTTAGATCTTTACTAATCTGTTGGCAATTTTCTTCCCAACAGGCATAAACATTTTTTTGGATGGCTATGTTCCAACAGAGAACTTGAGGTTCAGGGATGCGTCACTTGTTTTTAAGGTAGCTGAGACAGCGAATGAAGAAGAAGTTAAAAAGATGTGTATGTATAAATATCCTGAGATGAAGAAAAAGATGGGGGAGTTCGAGCTAGCGATTGTAGCTGGAGAATTTACAGATTCTGAGATCATGGTGATGCTGGGGGAAAATGGTAAGTCTTTGTTTCCTGATGGTGACAGTTGCTTCTATACGTTACAGTCTGTGTTCATAGAGCACTGACTCTGGCTGGCATCTGAGTTTGAGTCTACAAATTTAATTTTACATTTTTGAGGTATTTACTAATTTAGCCTCACTGTTGTTCAGATAGGATGATAATTTCTCCATTATTTCCACTAAAAACATATAGTTTCAAGCTGGGCAGTGGTGGCGCACGCCTTTAATCCCAGCACTCGGGAGGCAGAGGCAGGCGGATCTCTGTGAGTTCGAGGCTGGGCTGGACCAATAGCCTCCAAAACAATACAGAGAAACCCTGTCTTGAAAAAATTAAAAAAAAAAAACATATAGTTTCTGCTCAGCTGGTTTTTCTGCGAATAAACTAGTGAGGCAGTCACTCATTCTGCAGAAGAACGGGAAGGAATAGGCAGTGATAACTTAGGTACATACCAGCTTTACAAGATGTCCCCGGTACCTGTATTTGGAATTTTCTTATTTGAACTTTAGAGATCTCTGTCTACTTTCGTAGTTTCATTGCCAATATGTTCAATATTAAATCAGATGACTTAAGTTTTATGGACTAAGCATTTTCTAGAATTTGCTGGTCTTATTCCTCCTCATAAGTTTAGGCTAATACTTGACAGGTGGGAGAGGATTCTTCTTCCTCCTTCTCTTCCTCTTTTTCTTCCCCTTCTTCCTCATCTTCTCCTCTTTTGGTTTCTCTGTGTAGCTCTCGCTGTCCTGGAACTCGATCTGTAGACCAGGCTGTCTTTGAACTTAGAGATCTGCCTGCCTTGGCCTCCCAGGTGCTGGGATTAAAGGTGTGTGCCACCACCATCCAGGTAGGGATTGTTTTTCTTTATAACTTTTACATAACATCTTCAAGACAGATTTCTCAATTATAACAAGTAGGAAATTATGTTTTACTTTAGAATGTGAAGGTTAATTATGTTTTTGTTATCTTACCAGGTACAGGTAAAACCACATTTATCAGAATGCTTGCTGGGAGGCTTAAACCTGACGAAGGAGGTACTGCCATAAATATTATGTTTATTCTCTCCCACAAAGTAAACTTTTAAAGTCTGGGCAGGTTTTTGTGTCTTATGTACTTGTATTATTTTGCAGGAGCAGTACCAATCCTGAATGTCAGTTATAAGCCACAGAAAATCAGTCCCAAATCAACAGTGAGTTGATATTTTAATTTGTTGATTAAAGAGTGAATGTGTGTGTGTGTGTTTGTGCGCACCTGTGGGTGCATATACCTTTTGTCTTTTGCTCTAGTAAGCAGCAAGGGCATTAGCTCAGTGGTAAAGTATATGTTTGATATGAGTTAAGATACTGAATTTAATCCCTACCACACAAAAATATCAATTAAAATTCTATCCATATTAGCATCTCTACAGTCACAGGCTGGTCTAGAGTCTACTGTATAACACAAATATCTGAAGTTCTCAGTCGACCTTGCCCCCTGTGCTGGAGTTGTGGGTGTTTGATACCACACCTGGCTCTGGGAGGAACTTAAAATCTCTTTTTTTTCCAAACCTTTGCAAACCTAATTCGAGCCTTTGCCCAAAAGCAAATATTCTTCCAAAGAAGATATACAGATAACCTATAACCATGTGGAAAATGGCTAAGCATTTTTAGCTCTTAAGAAAATGCAGATCAAACATGGTGAATACCAATTTACAATCACTAGGATAACTAATAACTCCAAAAGACAGGCACAAGTATTGGTGACAGTGTGAAGAGATTGGACACCATGTGTTGCCGATGGTAATGGAAAACTACAGCCACTAAGAAAGCCAATCACACATGTCTGTGGCATAGAGTCATAAACACAGCAGTTCTACTCATCGGTGTTTACCTGAGCAATGAGCATCTCAGTGTGTGGATCCTACACGTGCATGTTTGTAGCAGCTATATTTATCATAAAGAGCCAAACAGTAGAGAAAACCCAAATGTCTGTCAGCTGCTGCTAAATTGTTGCAAGTGTAAAACATGAAGATGTTGTGCTGAAGCAGTGGTGTCTGTTATTTCTGAAAGGTGTATTCAGCTTTGACATTTAGAATTATTCCTGCTCTTAATTATTTCTCCCCTGAAACCTTCATTATCTTCTGCTTTTAAATGATTTAATTATTTTAATTATTTAAATTATTTATGTATGTGAGTGCTGTACATGTACGTAGCAAGCCTCAAGACATGAGCCACATGGTGACTAGGGATTAAGACCTGAATTGGCCAGGTGTAGTAGTGCACCCAGCCATCAGTCCCAGCTCTTGGAGGCAGAAGCAGGAGGCTGAGTTGGAGGCGGCCTGGTTGGCTACATGGTGTCTCAGAAGAAGAAAAGGGTTAGAGTTGATACATATTGATGGAAAATTAAAGTCATTTTGGTCTGGAGTTTAATACTAAAATTCATAAACAGAAGGTTCTTTTCTGGTAATTTATCACTTACTTTCTTCCTCTAAAACCAGGGAAGTGTTCGCCAGTTACTGCATGAAAAGATCAGAGATGCGTATACCCATCCACAGTTTGTGACTGATGTAATGAAGCCCCTGCAGATTGAAAACATCATTGATCAGGAGGTACTATAAAGTTATCGATACAGTTATGTGTCCATCGTTATTCCAGACTTTGACTGTCTTTCCATGTTTTGCTGAACTTCTCCGATTAGGTGCAGACATTGTCTGGTGGTGAACTGCAGCGAGTAGCTTTGGCTCTTTGCTTGGGCAAACCAGCTGATGTCTATTTAATTGATGAACCATCTGCTTATTTGGATTCTGAGCAAAGATTAATGGCAGCCCGGGTTGTCAAACGGTAAATGTCTTTCTTCTAGAATAACATTTTTGATTATGTGTACTGACATACAAAGTTTAAAACACTTGAATCTCATTTTGTGACTTAGAAGCTATCAAAAGTTTGCCAATTGTTGTGTTCCAGCTTCATACTCCATGCAAAGAAGACAGCTTTTGTTGTGGAACATGACTTCATCATGGCCACCTATCTCGCAGACCGCGTCATTGTGTTTGATGGTGTTCCATCTAAGAACACAGTTGCAAACAGGTAAACATGCTTCTTTTAAATGTTCAGAAATAAAATTTAAGTTCTGACATTGTAAATTTCCAGTAAGCTCATAAGCACTGAAGTTTTGAAGGAGATAATGAGTCACTAACTCCATACGTTATTCTTCTCCAATACTGTATGGGGCCTGTGTACTAATTTTCAGGTTAGTATAGAATATTTGACCCAGGTAGATAATCTTACAGAGCCCTAGACCTCTTACCTTTTCTTTCAGCTTAACTTTGTCCAGTTGAATATTTATACTTCAAAAAAATAACTTTTTTATCAATAATGCTTACAAACTTAATTTTTGTGCAGAATAAAATCCAAAGAAGATTTGCCCAACTACACTAAAATTATAGTAGATGCCAAATACAGGACACTGACCCACAAGAGTTTGGGTGTATTGTTTTACCTTCTTCTGGTGTTCTGACTAGATTGATCATACTGCAGGAAAAACCATACTTTAAGTCTGTCAGTGAGGTGTCCCTTCACCATTAGTGATAAACCTACATTGAGTTGTACCTTATGAAATCACCAGTGTATAAACACACTTTGAACCCATGAAAGTGCCAGCCAGGCATGGTAGCACACTCCTTTAATCCTGGCATAGGAAGCAGAGGCAGATGAATTTCTATGAGAACCGAGGTCAGCCTGGCCTAAATAGTGTTTTCCAAGATTGCCAGATCTACATAGTAAGATCCTGTATCAACAAAACAAAACGAACAGTACCATGCATCCCAAAATTCCTTTGTTTTCATGTTACGTCTTTTCATCAGTTACTGAGAATTTGTTCCTTTCAGGAAATTTCTTATATATGTAGAATCTATTTCTTCCATAATGATCTTTTGGGTTTGCAAAATGATTTAAAATGTTCTGGGTTTTTTTTTTTGTTTTTGTTTGTTTGTTTTCTTTTTTTGTTATTTAGTTAGTTTTATAAATTGGGGGGCGGCTGGAGACAATGGCTACTCTTCCAAAGGACCCATGTTTATTTCCCAACACGTACATGATGGCTTACTGCTGTCTATAACTCTAAATAAATCTTTAAAAAAATAAAATTAGCTTGGGTATGAAAGTCAACATGAGAGTTTTTAATGGAAATTTATTTTAGTAAGTGATACTTCTGGAGCTGTGACAATAACTCAGTATAGAGTGCTTCCCTAACATCTGGAGTTATGCAAAGAAAAAAAATCAATAAATATTGTGTCTTAATTTCTTTTTCAGCATCAGAAATACAGATCATATTGTGCTTGTTTATAAATGTGACCAACCAAATGATGTGTAGTGTTAGCCTCTGTGCACAGTTGAGAGGAAGTGGTAACGGGGATTCTTGAGGCTTGACCAAATTGAATGAAAATTGTTGATTTCCCCTAGTCCTCAAACTCTTTTGGCTGGCATGAACAAATTTTTGTCTCAGCTGGAGATTACATTCAGAAGAGATCCCAACAACTACAGGCCACGGATAAATAAGCTCAATTCAATCAAGGTACGGAGGTGACTCTAGCATTATAAACCTAGGGCATTTGTTCCTCGCTTACATTGTGGCGCTGTTGCAGGCAACAGCTGTAATATTCATTACCCTGTGTGCGCTGTTTAAAGCTGCCTTGGAATCTGGCACAAGTGGTGGTACACACCATTAATCGTAGCACTTGAGAGTCAGGATCTCTGAGTTTGAGGCCAGACTGGTCTACATAGTAAGGTACCGGACAGCCAGGGCTGTGAGGCTTTGTCTCTGAAAGAATAAAATAGAACTTCTTGGAGAAACCTTAGTGTGTGCCACTGAAAGTAGATTAATGGAGTTTTGTTGAAATTTTTAAGAATACTTCTTTGTTTTTCAAGACATAGTTAAAATGACTAAACATTCTTCTAGGCTTATTAAGCCGCTTCTGTGTACTGCGTTGTCAGAGCACAATCCTAATGAGACAAGCCGAGCAGGTGTTGAGTGATGATTCTATGAACAATTTTGAGAAGATTTTGTTCTAAGTATTTTTTATATAATGAGCAATTTTCAAGCTGACAGCATTGTCTTTTGTACCAGGAGCTTAAAGGTGAAATTGAAACTTCCCCAAGAATATTTCAGTAGATGACAAGTCTTCTCCATGTAAAGTGTCTTAGGTAGTTCGACCTTCCATGAGCTGCTCTGAGATGCTCTGATAGATAAGCATGGCTGAGGAACTGTATAGATTGCTATAGCTTCAAGAAGGAAAACTGTTCTGACTTGTAACTTCTTATTTTTTAGGACGTGGAGCAAAAGAAGAGTGGAAACTACTTTTTCTTGGATGATTAGATTGAATCTGAGATTATCAATAAGCCATTTACTTACTGGGATTTTTATCATATAAAACTTTAATCAGGTTTTATGGCCCCAATACTCTGGAGCTTGAAGTATGATTTTCTTAATGTGACATCAAAGGCCAATTGTCTTGTAAACTGTTCAGAGCTTTTCTGCTCTTAAGATAAACCTCTGTGCATACTTCACTAAAATGGAGACATTTCAAATCCGTAAATCACCTCAAGATTTCCATCATCTATGGGGAGATTTTCAGTTTTGTATTATATTCATGTACCAGATGCTTACTGGTGTTGACCATCTTTAAATCTTGGATAAGATCTATATTTATCTGTTTGCTAAGTGGACCAGTATAATTAAATTGCCCTATTTAAAAGCCAGTCAAAGACTACACTGCTAAAGTCTGTCTGATAATAAACATCAGAATTTTATTTGCTACTTGTTTTTAGTGTGTGCACTATATTATCAGTGTGTAGCTGCTTCCAAGAAACATTGTCTGCTACAGACACCATTGTGGGAAGATGTATGTTTATGACCAACTTATTCATTATTTTTAATGTTTTTTGTTTTGGTGCTTTTGAACATCTGTCAAAAATTATTTCAATACCCTAATTTAAATCTGGATTTTTGGTTTTTACTATCTATAAGATTCTATAATAACGTTCAAAGTAATGTAATTTTATAAACATAAATTTATATAGTCATCAAGTTGGGAGGAGGTGTTTCTGAAGAATATTTGCTTCCTATAAACTATAGGCTTGGGCTGGGGAGATGGTTCAGTCAGTAAAGTGCCAACTGGACGTTCTTGAGGACCACTTAGAAGACATGGGATTGTAGTGCCAGTCCTAGGAAATGAAGTCAGACAGACCCTAGAGTCCATTGGCTGGCCAGCTTAACAGTCTGTGAGTTCTATGTCAGGGAAAGATCCAGTCTCAGAAAGTTAGGTGGGGCAGCAATTGAGGAAGACAGCTTATAGCAAACCTCTGGCTCCAACACACAGACATGTGCATATGTACATGTGTGTACGTACATACACATACGTACTTTTATACATAAACAACCCTAGATATAAAAAGTCTTTACAGTTGGTGCCTAGGTATCTGGATGTTAGGGGTTTGTTTTGAGACTGTCCTGTAACCCAGGCTGGCCTCAAAGTCATTGTGTAGCTAAGGACAACCTTGAACTTCTGAGCCTACACCCAGATTTCGATTGTGCAGTGCTGAGTCAAACCCAGGGCTCTGCAGGCTAGGCAAGCACTCTACCAGCTGAGCCACGTCCCCAGCCCTCTTTATAGACTACAGATTTTTCTGTTGAACAACCAGGGGCAGCCTTTAACCACTTCTCCATGAGTGCCGGAAATAGCAATACAAAGTGCCCATTGCTGCAGTTCATATTCATTTGTACGTGTGGATACAAAGGACATTATCTAAATCTTACTAATATACTGAACTAGAATTATGAGGAAGGTAGATTACAGTGAATAATGGGGCAGGCAGAACAGGAAATTAAAAATTATTTGACAAGACTTTGAACTTTAAATAATTTTGATTACCTTGGAAACAATGATAGAAAGTTAGTTTTGACTGGACCCCATTAGGCCTTCGAAAAGTGAATTTATATGAATAATCCATAAATACATTTCTGTTGTAAAAGAATGCAAATATACAGAGATAAATGGAATAAACATTTCTCCCCTCATTACTCAGATTACCTGTTTGATTATTCTTTCACATTCGCTATGCTCTTAAGGTGGGTATGGGAAAATAGTAAAGTAGTTTAGTTTTCTGTTTAAGGGCATGTTAAAAATTTTTTTTTATTTTGCAGATACTTAAAACGCAGAGAAACAAAGAATTTACTGACTTAAAACTAAGAAGTTAGCCTAGTCTACAAAGCTAGTTCTAGAACAACTAGGGCTGTTACACAGAGAAACACTGTCTTTGAAAAACCAAAGAAGAAGAAAATTAAAGTTCATCCATTTTTAGTTCTAGCTAATGACAATGTATGTTAATAAATTGGTATTTTTCATGCAAATGAAAAGGGTGGTGGTGATGGCGTACACCTTTAATCTCAGCACTTGAAAGGCAGAGGCGGGTGGGTCTCAGTTGAGGCCAACCTGGTCTACACAGGGCAAGAGTTCCAGGACAGCCAAGGATGCACAGAGGAAGTCTGTCTTCAATAAACAGAAAATAAGTATATAAGGGGAAATTAGCAAGATGAATTCTAGAGAGGACAACAATAAGTACAGGAAAGAGCATTTTTTTTTTTTTTTTTGAAATAGTGCTTAGCTCCGGGGATCTCTCTGACCACCCAGTCAGCAGAGTAACAATTCGTGGGAGGCGAGAAGATAGTCTGGCTCAACGTGACACAGTAGCTGGCGTGGGTTCAGTTATTTTAGGCATATTTATGCATGACACAATTTGGTGGAAAAGTCCTGGTGATAATTAACCCTGTGTGCACAATACATAGAAACTCTTTGTACAATACATAGAAACTCTTTGTAAAGAACATGTGACATCTTCCATGATAGGTTCTACAGATTGACAAGCTTAGCTCAAGAATAGGATCTATGAGAGGTCCAGTGTGGTCTCAGCCACCGGTCAGAAAGGTCACCAGGCTGTTAACCATGTCACCAGACAACCCTCTGAGTTTAAAATTCACGGCACTACAGTTCTGAGGTAATCTTGACAAGGCTCTGTGAGGGAAGGACACATCTCAGGATGGTGTAGTAACTCTCTAGGGTCTAAAGAACAGCTCAAGTCAGAGACATGATAGAATAAGCGTAGTAGAAGGGATGTGTGACTATAGATTGTGGTGAGCGTTGGGTAAAACATACTAACAGATTTGCAATGTCTGAGATAGGTCAGTAGCAGGTTAGTGTAGCATGAGTCATGTTGGGGTTCCAGCTGAAGATAGAGAGGCTAAGCAGCCAAGCCACCAAAGGGGCAGGCAATCCTGTCCTCAGACTGCATCCTCTTACTGCCTAGACAACACTGCTCCTCCCCCTTATATTTCTCTTTCTGCCCAGCCATATATCACCGGTCTCTACCTCCTTAGTGCTGGGATTAAAGGCATGTCACCCCCAGTGCTGGAATCACCTTTGTGTGAGTTCTATTTCTTTTAGACTGATCGATTTTGTGTAACCCAGGGTGGCTTTGAACTAGCAGATCAGTCCGCCTGTTTCCCAAATGCTGGGATTAAAGGTGTGTGCCACTACTGCCTGGCCTCTATGACTGACTAGTGTGGTTAGCTTTGCACTCTTATCTTCAGGCAAGCTTTATTGGATCATAAACAACCTGGTTCAGCATGAGATCCTTAGTAATTTTTGCAACAGTGGAATACACTGATCAACTTCTTGCCTCTTTATGCAGGCACACAAGTAAGCTTCCTTTTTAATTTAGTCTGCCCATTTATTGCAGGTTTGCACTGGGCTACTTGTGAAAATTCTGGAACTTTCTGTGAAAATTCTGGAACTTTCTGTCAATACCATTTTTTCCCAGGCCTCAACACCTCCTTGCCAGTTTAATCCAAAACAGTTATAATTCCTGTCTTTGTTACATTTATGCCATTTGACAGTTCTGGCTGGCAAGCTGAGAGCTAAAGTCACCTGGGAAATCCTTTTGCTTTCCTTCAAAGCATACCTATACTATTTCTCGTGGAGATGATGCATGGAGCAGTTTTGTGGCCAGAGAAGGGAAATGCCAAGAGAACTTTAAGCATGCTTCCCGAACAAGACCCCATGCCAGCAGCCACTTCCTGTGTCAGCATTAAGTGCATCTTTCCCTTACCTCCTGCAAGTTGACCCCTGTGTGACTCCCCTCTTACCCTCTTTCAAAACCCTGGAACCTAAGCCAAGAAGTTTTCCAAACCTTACACATTTCCGCAGGTCATGAAACTCTCCACTGGCCCCATTCATTCCTTACAGAGAATCCTTTGGATGGAGAGCTTTACTTAAACCCTGCGTGAAACAACTTCAGGGGCTGAATTTTGAACACAAAATTTTCCAGGAACTAAAAGAGACTTTTAAACACCAGACTTCACTTCTCAACATTTATCTCATTCATTTCAGGAACAAACAGTTTAGCTACAAGAAAGTCTTGCTTCCCTCCCTCTGGCTTCTCTGCTCATCTGGGCAGTCCCACCGAACACCACTGAAAGGGAAATGCTCCCCTTCCTCATCACCTCAAAGTTCTGGAGAGCTCAGTCAACTCACTCTGAAGTCCCACATATGGCTCAGTAACGAAGTGAAAAGCCATATGGAAACCAGCTATCATAGATGTTCCCTAAAATATACACATGTGAAAGGAATTGAAATGGGGTTATTTTACAATGCCCCAACTAGACATGCCCCCAGGCCAAGTGGCAGGAAAAGCCTTTTAGCTGATGGCCAAAGGGGTCCTATAGATCCCCCTCCCCAACCTCACAGGCTGTTGCCAAGACTACTGGCTACCCTCCACCTGAAGAAAAACCTAAGGCTCTATCTCTGAGGACACCAACTGTCATCACACATGTAGAAATTGAGCTGATGCTCACTAGAAGCTTCCCTCTAGGGACTACTGTACAGCAGTGGCACAAATGTCATGGAGCAGCACTTTTCTCAAGTTTCGTTTGTGGTGCATTAACACACATGGAAGGGCAGCTGTGTGGAGCTGTTGCCTTCTGCCACGCAGGCCGCAGGTGTGCGGCTTGGCCACACGTATTCTCCAAAGCACCAGCCACGTTTTAGTTAGATTTAAGGCCCATTCATACCTGGCACTGCACAAATATCCAAGAACCTGAGACTAACCAAGAACCAAGGCTATACTAAGCAATGGTCTAGGGAATGGTTTTTTCAATAGAACTCCTAATGACTTAGTTCTACTCCTAGATCACTACTGCATTGCTCAGCCCTCACCAGAGCGGCTCTTTTCAATGGATGGTGATTAGCAGAGACCCACGACTGGTCAGTGTGCAGAGGGGGAGACTTCAGAGCAGTCAGTCTTAAATGAGACGTCTTCATTAAAACCCTTCTCTAAAGGCTCTGCAATCTGCGGGCAGAATTCAAGAGCTGGTGGTGGTAGGCAACTCCAAGGAAGCAGTCTTCAGATACAAAAGGACTAAAACACATATGAACTCAGGGACTGGGTCAGGCATGGGTTCCAGCCAAAATCCCATCCCTGAAAATGAGAGGCAGCCACTAACCAGGAAGCTATTTGCAATTGAACCAAGCTGGGAACAGGAAAAGTGCTATTGGGTGTTAGCAACCACACGCCAGGGCAGACCCCAAGCCCAGTAGTTAACCAAACAAAAATGCACTCCTTTTAGCAGGCATATTTTAGTTAGTAGAGTTTTTTCTGTTTCATTTTTGAGAGAAAGAACAAAAAATTGGATGAGTAGGGAGGTATCTTTCCATTTTTCTGGCTAACACTGGGGGACTGGAAAAATACGACCAAAATACATTGTACTAAAAATTTTAGTCAGGCGGTAGTATAGCACACCTTTGATTCCAGCACTCGGAAGGCAGAGGCAGATGTACAGAGTGAGTTCCAGAACAGTGAGGGCTACAAGAGAAACCTTGTCTCAAAAAACAAAGCAAACAAAATGTTTTAATGGAAGTTCACAGAACACACCCCAGAGTGCATGCCGTGCAGTGGCAGTGACCTTGAATTCCTGCACTGAGGAGGCCAAGGAGGCCAGACAAGGATGCAGAAGTGCAACCTGCCTTGAGCAGAGCACCCTTCCCAGTGCAGTCTCTAGAGCGTCTAACTGCAGCTCCAGGGACTCCGTTTCACTTCACTGGTATCTTTTAAAAGTTCACCAAAAATAAAAAAAGGTCTCACATAGCTCCCTGACTAATCCTAGATCAATTTCCAAATTATTTGTACTTGAATGAGCAGTGTTTTGAGTTCTGCTGAGAAAACCGTATGAGCTCTCCTGAGGAAGTGCATAACTTTAGCAAACACTGCCAGCACTGCCATGTAGTATTCCAAAATTGCTTAATGAAGAACATGCACTCAATAAATCAAGAAATGTTTTCCAGGGCCAGGCATGTAATCCATAGGTTAGAATGCCTGCCTTAAAAAAAATCCTGTACCTTAATTCCTAAGACAGCAAAAAAAAAAAAAAAAAGCAAACAACTTTCAAAATGTCAGTATATCTGATAAATTTCTGTTTCCAGTTTGTTCAGTCCTTCTTCAGAAAACTATTACTGGCCTGGGGGTGGGGGGCACAGAATGAACACACTACAGAGGTCCATTAGCCTCTGATGTCTAGGTGCTCCGCATCCTGCTTCAGCATGCTCAAAGAGATGGAGCATTCCCTGAACCACTCACGATGGAGTTAAGTACAATCCCACCACTCACTAGCTCTGTAACTTGGCCAAAGCTTCAATGCATAAGAAGTAAGGAAAACAACTGCTATCCCATAGGTACAAATCCCACTTCCAGTTTTCCCTACTGTGATTGTCTTCCAGCATGAAAAATATACATGGAAACCATGTCATTTTCAAGAGTTTACTAAGATTTATCCTCAGATTTACACATGATATATTGGGTTACCCAAAGACCAAAGAATCCCAAGCAGAATCGACAGACAGAATTTAATATATGCACACGGTTGTATATATAATGCAGCATCACACCATGTAGGGCATTGACTTGTTTTATACATTCAGATCGTTTGAAACACTTCTTAAGGCTACGAAACAGAACATAGAAAAATAAACAGCAATATATTCAACACTTACAAAAGTGGTATGATAAAGAATATAAAGTACTATTCCTTTCAACACTTCAAAAGATATGTATAGATATGTATATATGTTTTTACAGGTAACATCACAAATGATCACATCTTCACATGCTTATTAAGTATTATTGTACTCAGTGTAAGGCTAGGATCATTTTTTCATACATAAATTTTTTTCTAGCTTTGTAACAATGCAATTTTTAAACCATTCAAGTAAATTCAACCCCAAAGCTGCTGCTTCTCAGCATTAAGACATGCACCCACCCCTCTTACAGGATTTTCTAAAACTTGTAACTTTAGGGAAAGGGGAAACTTAAAAAAAAAGTTCCAATTAGTGGGAGAGTAAATGGCTAAGTGGTAAAATCTTAGCTCTTTCAAATTAACACACTCAAGTGAGCCATTATGAAGATTTTTTAAAAAAGCAATTAGACAAAATCGGGAGCAAAACACAGTAAACAGAAATACAACTTCCTCTAGCTACACTAGGATGAATCTTGCTAAGTACCCTAAGTGAAAGGAAAACTTCACCTATCTAAAACTGAAGATAAAATAAACGAGGCAAAATAAATATTGCTAGTTTCCAGGATGGCTGAGTGTTTTCTAAACCAGAACAGTTTAGAAAGGAACTGTATTGCACCAGTCAATCACAAGCCAGTTTGCAGCTCACAGGCTTTTAGTTCACCCTTGGGCCAAAGGAAACACTACAAAGAATGGTTTGCAGCACATAAGCTGTCTCAGCACTGTGGATGTGGAAAACCTGCTTCTGTCAGCTTGTGGCAGGTATGAACTTGGCCCTGCCAAGAAATAGACGTGGAGGAAACATGAAGGCTGCCACGGAGCGCATGGGGCAAGAATGGAAGGTGTGCCTTAGAGGAAAACCGTGAAGAGACAATACAGAAAGGAGACGCTGGGGTCTATCCAACTAAAGCCCTAACTGAAACAGACGAGCTTGGTCAGCATAAGCATTTGTTCAGAGTGTATTCCACCATGAGGCTCCATCGTTCCCCAATGACAATACCAACAGCTTTCAGCTGCCATCCTTCTCTTTCCTTGTGTCGAAAGAGGTCAAAATGCACCTGACAGCTCACGAAGTCTGATCTAGCATAAGGCAGAATCCCCTGGATGAATACACGTAAAAGCATACCTAAAGTAAACTGACCTTCACACAAAGATTAACCATTTTAAAACTACTAAAGTCCAAGTTGTATTCCAGAGGTCACAAAGAGTACCACAGGCTAGAATTCTTTCATCGCTGACCAATCATGTCCCAGAAGTCAGGTAAGGAAACGGAAGCTCGTCCGACAGTTTCCCTCAGGAGCTACAAAGGGCTGTTCTTCACTACTGAGGTGAGACGGAGCGGCTGTATAGAAAACAAGCGTTACTCTTTCCTGTCCAAATTTAAGACGCTTCCCCAGTCAGAGAAACACGAAAGACATTGGAAACAGGTACTTCTTTTGGAATCCTGAGACCAAACACACCAACCTTCTAAATCTAGTTCATTATATCAAAAGGTGATTTTCATACTGAAACTACGAGATAAAGCCAATTCTACATAAAAAGCACGGACTAAGCGAAGGTCCTCTAGAGTTCTTACTCCATAATTCAGTCACTGATATTGAAGCACTGGCAAAACAGAACCTTTACAACCATTCTAGCTTAGAAGCAGACCACAAACTCCTTTCAACAGGTTCCCAATTTTTCTACACATCCCAGGCCATAAATTTTACCTAGCACCATCATTAATAAAATGTTATCTTTCAAAGTGCTTTCTAAAAGTCCTATGTTACAAACTTCCTAAACGCTAATCACTACTCAAATCAGCAGTTACCCAGACATGAGGGTAATTAAAACAGCACAGAGGTAAATCCCATCATTACAGTACAGCAGAGCGTCACTGAGCCTAGCCGACAGGCAAGCATCCCCACAGTTATCAGAGGACCCAGAAAACTGTCTGCTTCTGTTTGTTATATTCAAGTTAATTGTATTTGCTCTGAAGTAATCTGCCCCCTAAAACAAAAGCCACATCTATTTCTGGTTAGGTATTTAACACACAACAAGCAAAGACAATCACCCCCAGACTACTAACTAACTGCATAGCACTCAAGCTGCCTGATCACAAGGTAATTGCAACATTAGAAAAAAACAAAAGGTAGATTTTCACATTGATATATACAAATAAAGAATACAACGTACAGTTAGTTTTACATAGTAACACAGATAAATGAATCCTGTGTTAACTGTCTGAGTCCAATCTCTAAATGAGAACAGAGTGCCACATGCAAAGGGAGCGTCTAGTGAATGCTGCAGACAGGAAGCAGCAGACCAGACACACACTGATGGGTAAACGACAAAGCGCAAAGCAAAACCACCCTCTAGCAGCATCCTCTAGAAGAACTACAAGTCACAATCACGTTCTTTTTACACGGTAATTCCAGCTAAGTTGAACATGCAACTGTAGAGTGATAAACGTGACCAATGGTGCAGGGAGAAAAACCACGCTTGAAGAGGAGACTATCAAGTTAAAAACTTTAACATTGCTCACAAAATATTTAGACTCTGTCAGTGCATTAGTGTTAAAGTGGCATTAAAAAACCTCTGCAGTTTTAACAGATGCAGATTATTCCCAAAATGCATAGCATCTACATTCCTTTCCAGTAGGCACCATTATATTTACAGCAGTGCTAAGAGTTCTTGATGGAAACAGCCGTCTCACCGGACTTCCCACAATCTCAAGTTCAGCACTCACCAAAATTCAAAAATATACCCTATGGATATTAAAAGAACTATATACAACAATTCTGAGACACAGGTTAATAATAGGCTGCCTCGTGTGTAATAGTAGAGAGAAAACATTATTCAAGTTTGACAGATACTGAGATGAAAGGCCTTTGGGTTGGAAGCATATTAAAAGACAACAGTGTTTTAGGCTGAGAACTGTTTGAGCCCAGTTTCTGACTAAGGCATTGCATAATAAAATATACATTTCTATTTGGTGCCATGTTATGTTTTGGAATCTATAGTATGTTGAATGCTTTACTTTCCCGTCACTTTAGTAAACACTGAAAAGCACACACTTCCAATGTTCTAAATCAAACTTACACAAGAGAAAAGAAATCAAACACTAAGTCTATGTTTTATATTGAGCTGTTTATAAAAAAATACTTGAAGTCATGTTTACTTTATGGGGGCAGTAACCCAATAAACAAATTCAGAGTAAGAAAAACCACAATGCCAAAAATTCATCTGCCCCTTGAAATCGTGTCCAGAAAGTCTCATCCAGAATATGAATTAAGGGTAAAGGGGGAGGGGAGAAGATAGTTCCAATTTGGGTTTTTATTTTAATGTTGGTAAAGCCTTCAGAAATACACCTAAGAAAAGGCTTCAGCAGCTCTACAAAATGAGCAACAATTAACCATTAAGTGTGTTGTCCCCTATGACCGTCTCCCATCCCTGATCTCCTCCTATCTCCCCTATACGGGCGTCCTCTAACATTTCGATGGTACTGAAAACCTTCATCCCGGCTTCTGCTAGGCTGCCCTTTCCAGGACTCCTCGCCTCTCACATGTTGATAGCCACCTCTACCGGAAGAGCCCCAATCACTTTTGTATTTCCTGCTTCCATACGTTTGATTATAAAACTGCTTGGGTCTGCCACTTTTCAGTATATTAGACACTTCATTCTCATCTTCTGAACTCTCTTCTTTTGGTCTCTGCAATCTATCCACAGAGTTGACGCCAGAGCCGAGCACATCAGCAGCAGTCTTGGGATCTTTCATTTTCTCTGGTTTTTCTTTCAGACTCTGGATGGTTCTCTTAGGCTCAAGTTCAGCAGACATGGCTTCTCTCTCTCTGTTTAGAATCTGAGTGGGAGGATGAGCTTTCCCCTCTATTCCAGGAGAGGCTGAAGCCAAAGCTACGTCTGTCTTTCGTGTCTGGGACGACTGCTCCACTCGGCCTTCATGCGTGCTGCTAACACTTGCCTCAGAGAGAGAATGTGCACCTTCAACTCTGGCTTCCGGAAACTCGCCCACTGCTGAGACAGAGTTGCATTCCTTAGACAGATCTAGATTCTCCAGGGGCAAATCCAGTTCCCCTTTATCATCAGAGGGCAAGACAATATTTTGCCTCATTACAGGATTTTCCACGAATCCCTGAAAAGGATACCCATACCAAACATGAGGAAAGAAAGGAGGCGCAATGGGAACTGGACCTAAGAATGGGTTCGGTCCAAAGGATGGTTGTGGGTACATGTTCTTGCCACCTAATGACTCTTCATATTCAGCATGAAGAAGCTGCCCGGGATTCTCAGACTCAAGTTCAGGTTGATAAGACAACTGTCCATGACCTTCAGACACCTGAGATGGGGGGATGACCAGAGGTGAGGAGAATGCAGGAGGTCCCATCTCTGCCTGTGGCATCTGTCCATTAACACTGGCCTCAGGGTGCAGAGAGTAGTGGGCATCAGTACAAGGACAGTCACTTTCACTCTGAGCAGGAGGGGCTTCCTGGAACCAAGTATTCTGAGGATACACAGGAACAGGGACTTTTGGGAACATCCTACAGGCTGCCATGTAGGCCTGGTGCAGAGGATACAGGTAAGAATGTGGGGCCCACATAGGACAACTATATGCCTGAAAGACACAAAAATAGCAAAATAATTTAAAGGTTAAAAAGCTGTATTTCTGAAAGTATTTATTTAGTTCAAGCGAAGTCTCTCATGCCTATAACGGTATGTACTCAAGTCCAAATACAAGATGATCCGTGGCATGCAACAATTGTTCCCTGGGTTCTGACCTGATGCAGGTTCACAGGAAGCATTACCTCTGCCACTGGGAGTTTAGTTAGACCCACTCAAATCCTGACTCTAGCCTGCCAGGAAAATGCTCTAATAGGACAAGGTCTCCAGACGTACTAATTATTGTAGAAGCTCTCAAATTACTCCAATAGCCAAATATTAACAAATCAGACCTCTTAACAAAGGATAAAGATGACAATGAAATACTTTTAATTCCTTCCTCTGTTGGCATTCAACTAAAAAACCAAATTATGAAGAAAATATAACTGGATGACAATATAAATCCAGAATGAACTAGTAAGTGTAACCAGGCAATAAATACAGATTTATGAGGCTGGCTACTGGACTGAGGCACTTGATAGTCCATGTTCATAGAATTGACAGAAAAGAATTCAAGTCAAAGACAGCAAAACACTGACAAGGGCAGTGAGTTCTGTACACTCTTTCTTTCCGCTATGCTAGTGAGCAATGTTCTCCCTTTACAGAATAATGCTCTCAATTGATTACTTCCTTCACTCTCCTCAATGGAGGCAGCTTTGTATAATACACGAGGCTCCCGAGACACCTACTGGTTTGCAAAGGATGACATACCTAAACTTGCTAAAGCAGAGCTTCACTAAGAGGACATTCCCATGAGTAGTCCAGGAAACTGGTTAGCCCCTTCATATATTCCAAAACCAAGCCATGAGCAATTAAAAGAAATAGCAAGCAAAAACTAGAACCTGTCCCATAACGAAAGGTAGCATTTAGTAATTAGGAGTTAAATATCTTAAATTTTACTATTTAGAGTGGCAATAAAATTAATTTTAAAAGGAAAAAATATAAATACCTTTACACCAAGATTGAAGAAGAATCGAAGAATGTTCTTATCTGAAAATGAAATATTTTTATTAAAAATACAGTCAATGTTTTTCTTACCTTCAACAATCATTAGTTCTAAAGACAAATTTTCCTACCAAGACTGCCTGCACAGTAAAACACACAAATGGAAACATAACCAAAATCCAGGCTTCTACTAGAGGTAACTCCGGGTTTTCTACACTTCTCTGCATTAATATCTAAGTCTCTGAAGCCAGGCGGTGGTGGTGCACGCCTTTAATCCCAGCACTCGGGAGGCAGAGGCAGGCGGATCTCTGAGTTCGAGGCCAGCCTGGTCTACAGAGCGAGTTCCAGGACAGCCTCCAAAGCAACACAGAGAAACCCTGCCTCGAAAAAGCAAAAAAAAAAAAAAAAAAAAAAATTAGTTTATGTGATTAAAATTCAATCTGGGAGACAAATCAGATGAACACCATTTTTCATATATTATGTGTGGTTTCAAAAACTTACAAAATACAAGAGCGGGAGAGATAGCTCAGCGGTTAAAGAAACTGGCTGCTCTTCCAGAGGTGCTGAGTTCAATGCCTAGCAAACCACAAGGTGGCTCACAACCATCTATAATGAGATCTGGTGCCCTCTTCTGGCCTGCATGCATAAATGCAGGTAGAATACTGTATGTATGTACATATGTATGTATACGTGTATATGTGTGTGTGTGTGGCCTGCATGCATAAATGCAGGTAGAACACTGTGTGTGTGTGTGTGTGTGTGTGTGTGTGTGTGTGTGTGTGTGTGTGTGTGTGTGTAATAAATCTTTTTTAAAAATTATAAAATGCAAACACTAGAGAAACAGTAAGATTTCCATAAACGGAATCAGGAATTGGTATTACATACTTATAACCCAGAACCTAGGAGAAAATGAGGCAGAGTACAAGGTCCAGGCCAGCCTGGGCTACATAGTGGGTACTACCTACAAATCAAAGTCTAGAAATGATTTCAAAGCTGTTGAGGTCATTTATGGAAAGGAAAAAAAAACAAAACAAAACAAACAAACCACACAAGAGAGGCTTCATTAAGCACGAAGCTCGTTTTCTACTGAGACCAAGCTAAAATAGGCCTGAACAATCACATGAACCTTAGTCACCAGCAAACCTCTGCTCTTTGCTGGATGAGGCCCTTCTACAGCGTAGGAAGAGCCAGACATCTGGCTTCTGCTTGTACCTTCCCACTTGTCATGAGAGCTATCTGTGCTCAGGGAAAACAGCACTATGAAATGGGGAAGGCCTCACCTTTAGGCAGGTCCTCGCCAGTCTGACACAGTGAATAAGGGGGTGCAATGGCTCGATCTCCCTTCTCGCTACAAGGAAACCCAGGATAGAGTGGGTCTTGATAAAGGCTCATTGTCTGAGGCAAAGGCATCAAGGGCTGGTTAACTGCCTGAATCGACACAGGAACTGGAGAGGGTGTTAAATGCGCTTGTGAAACAGCAGCATCAGGTCCAGTGGTCTGCGTCACTGACAAAATGGGAATCTGAGCAGGGACACCTAAGAAAGACAAAAATGGTAAAAAATAAAAAATAAAAGAGAATCTAGGTCATATTCATTTAGAAACACAGTTTGCACTAAAGTCATGGTGCACAACTTAGATGCCTTGTAAAGCATGCAGTAAGCAACCTAAAGTACTTTAGTGACAGTCCACGAAATAAGCTCAGTCAATATCTTCCAACCACAGTTCCCAAAAGACCATTTAAGGAACAGGTCCTTGAAAAGAGTCCTGAAGAAGATGTAACAGTGTGGCCTATGCAGGATCACAAACAGTGGCCAACAACTGACAATTGGCTCACGTGTCACACACCCGAGATTATAAAAGCATCCAATGAACACCATGCACGTATGTGCACCTGCCCCACAAGTAAGCGAGAAGCCCTAATGGGCTCCTTACTCATTACTCTGCTGTGGTCAAGCAGAATTGGAAGCCTGAGACTTGAAAAGAATTCTTGTCAACTGGTCGTAATTTTTAAAAACTTCTTCTCTAACCTGTTGGTCCGAAAGTTGTAGGTTCACTTGGCCAGGCTGGCACAGTGGCTGGTAAAGAAGGCACGGCAGGAGTGAGATGTGCTTCTGGGGAAACTAGAAGGGGAGCTGGGTTTGACAAAGATATATGTTCTGCTGGCTTCTTCAAGAACAGGAAGGGGAGAAAAGGAAAGAAAAAAATCATTTGGCTTTGACATAAATTTTCGTAAATTTATCTTTAGTGAAGTCTAAAAGGTCCTACTATAAAGCTAAACATTTAACTGCTCACATCAGTCTTCATACACTGGCAAAGGACACCATATAAACTCAGTTCATGTTAACAAGGTTGCTAGTGCGAGTCACAGTCAGAAACAACAAACTCTGAAAGCAAACGAACAAATCATAGAAAGCCTTTAAAGTCCTTAGGTTTTTTTTTTTTTTAAGATTCTCACCCAAAAATAAAAAAAAATTAAATGCACTTAGGTACATTCACGTTATGGACACAAAGTCTGGTGAGAGAACAGCGAGTAACTGTCTATTCTTACTTTAGACCAAGAACCAAAGTGACTGCAGAAACTGAAGTATATTCATTTACTTGGTAAGCTACTGTTATTTTTTAATGTATATGGAATAATTCATTGGTGATGATGCAGATATTTCTAGAAATACTATTAACATAGTAGGAATTTTATCTTTTTAATTTTCAAGTTGAACTACCTCAAAAATAGCAAGAGGTGTCACACATAAAGGCATTAATATAAACTTAAAATCGAGTCACAGGAATGCCTATAAATGACATTCCATTAACTTTTAAACCCTTTTAGACTAAACAGGATAAATTTGACTAAACAGGATAAATTTAAAGCACCTGTATCACGTCAGGTATGAATTCTTCCATTTACAACATAGATGTTTTCATTTACAGAGAAAAGTCCATAGAGAAAGGAGACGGGGCCTAATGCAGTAACTTACTTGTTCTACAGGAGATGGGCACTCTGCTTTCTTTGACTTAGATGGTGATGAAACTCTTGTACATTTATCATCGCTGATCTTTGGGAGCAAGAAAAAGTCAAACTGTGAATAAGAGAACTCCATCCTGGGTAACAGTGGTTGCCTTTCAAATTGGTTCAGAGAAGCTGTTCTGAGAACCCACACCCGCTTAATTTGGCCTGTACATGGGTTTAGTGTCACTTTACCACAGAGCTTTTATATGGGGACTCCTAAAACATAGCAGTCTCCTTTACAAACATCTCTACAGAGTGATAAAGATAAATACTGAGGCCTCATGTGGTGGCCCACACCCTTTAATCCCAGTACTCAGGAGGCAGAGGCAGGTGGATCTCTGAGTTTAAGGCCAACCTGGTTCCAGAACAGCTAAGACTGTTACACGGAGAAACCCTGTCTCGAAAAATCAAAACAAACAAATAAACAGAAGGATTAAATAAACAGGTAAATTCTTTACCTCCAGTATGCTTGGCTCCGGTTTTTTGTCAACATGAGTATGACCACGTAGGGAATCTGCAAAAGATTAAGAATAAGAAAGGGAGCATCAACCATCAGTCAGAAAAACAATCACTGTTTCTCTCAAGTCAGTGTTTCTCTCCAGTGTCAGATATGTGACACTAGATAGACAGCTTGACAATTCGCAGTCTTTTCCCAATACAGCAACCTCTTCTTATCCATAGCAGATACATCCTCCAGCAGACATCTGAAATTGTGAATGGTAGCTAATCTTATACTCACTATAGGATCTTTTTCCTGTATTTACACAGTCAGCAGAAGCAAATACTGAAGAGAAATAGGGTTGCATCTGTTCTAAAGTTATGTGAGTGTAACCTCTTGCAAAGGTTCTACTTCCACCTTGTCGTTTAAAGTACGCTGACTTTACTTTGGCATCACTAGAACACAAGCACGGATGGCTACCCCCGGTCAAAGTGATATTCAAGACAGCTATGAAGGGCTGGTGTGCAGCAGCATACACAGTATGGAAACACCAGCCCTTCACATGGGAACAGGAAGAACCATTGTATCACAACACATCATCATGCTACTCAAAGCAGCATTCAACTGGACTCTGAGGAAGTATTTCTGGAACTCTCCATTTAGGATTTCCAAACCATAGTTTACTTAAAACCTCAAACGGCAAAAAAAAACAAAAAAACAAAAAAACAAAATCACAAATAGGGCGAATCAGGCAAGGGTGTCAGACATCCTCAGTGACGTGGAATACCTTTGTCCTTCCGTTCTTCTGCATCTGTTCTCCGCACGCTCCCCTTCCTATCCCTTGCATGGGAAGACTTCCTCTGCACACACGAGTTGCTATTCTGAGGTGACTGACTGACTGACGATGGGCTCTTTAAAATAAAGTCACACTTGGCATTAAAATTTTACAAACATGAATACAAGTTCTACATATAACATTCATACTTCTAACCAAAAATCTCAAAATTCATAGCCTTATATTTTTATACTTTAGAATCTACTTGATAGGTATAGTTATAGATTTCATCATTTAATTATGTGATCTAAACTAATAGTCTATAACTGAACAAAGTATCAGGTAATTAGACTTTCAGCCTAAATTAATACTTTACATATCATTTTAAGAAAACACTGACCAATTTGTCATCTCGCAACGTTCTTTGCACAAACAAGGTCCCATGTGAAGGGAAAAAAATCAATTAGCAGACATCACTGAAATGACAGTCAAGAGCAAACCACCTGAGCTCTCAAAGAGTCAACCATAACATTGGTAAAACAAAGAGACCAGAATAAGTTGTTGGATTCAATCTTTTTGTTTGGATGGTTGGTTGATTTGGTTTTTGTTTGTTGTTTCTTTTTTTAGAGACAAGGTTTCTCTGAGTAGCCCTTGATGTCCTGGAACTCACTTTGTAGACCAGGCTGGCCTCAAACACACAGAAATCTGCCTGCCTCTGCCTCTGTGTGTGTCACCACTAGCCAGCTAAAGTTGGATTTTTAAAGACAAATTATCACTGAAAGTTCTAAATTCTTGTAACAGCACTCTTAATGAATCACAACAGGAAGGAGGTTCAGTCTTCTATTCCAGTTTTTAGTAAACAAATCTAAGCCACTATCAAATCTAACACCAGATAAATCTGAAGTCTGGAAATATGAAAAACAAATTTTAACGATAAAATTTTACAACCTATGACCACCTAACAGTAGCACAATTCTTGCCATTTGAGGACAGGATTAAAGTCAGTCCTTTGTGAAAACAAATAAGGCATGAAAGGAACGTCTCTAGTTCACAGACAGTGCCTAGCACGCAAGCATACCTGACTTGGGTACATTTGCAACCCTCCCGAAGCCCCAGACTCAACTAGTCCAGATAAGCTCTTTCAAATGGAGCTTCTCTCTCGGAAGACAGAAGAGTGAACATTGCAGCTTGGATCTTGTCCTTGGCACAGGGTAGCCTACAACAGCATTCTTCCTTGTGGTTTCATTCACTGTTACCAAGACTTAAAGACCACAAGCAAGGGGTTCCTTGTCCTGTCAATGACACCCTCACCAACATAACAAATGGTTTTCCTTTCTGATTGTCCCTCAAAGCTAGGGAAGCTAAAGGGAAAGTCATTGCTTTTATCACAAGTATCTAGTACAGCCCAGGGACTCACACACAGAACAAAACAAATCCACATGCTTCTTGTTTAAACCACATCAAGTTTATGTTTAATAAACAGTTTCCTGGCTGTTCAGAAAACCTTACAGAAGGTCAACTGAGTTGTAAGCCTCTATACTGCAGGTTCGGCTTGCAAATACTAAGCCTTTCAGTCTGAAAGAAAATACCCATCACTGACAAGTGAACAAATCAGTTTACTTGCTCAACTGTCCCCAACTTTTTTCAGTAGTATCTCTAGACCCAGGATTAACTATAAATTCTACTTTTACTGTCCCTCCTTCCTTTTTTCTTGACATAGAATTTCACTATATTGGCAAGATGGCCTTAAATTCAGGGATTGGCTTCCTTCTCAAGTAGATGGGATTACAAGCACATAACCATACCAAGGTCTACATAAACTTTAAAATACTTTCAGTTAAAAAAATTAAATTCTGGGCTAGAGAGATAACTCAGTCATTAAGAGCAGTAGCTGTTCTTCCAGGGAACCTGGGTTCAATTCCCAGCACCCACATGGCAGCTCACAGCTGTCTGTAAACTCCAGTTCCAGGGGATCTGACACCTTCACACAGGCATACATGCAGGCAAAACAACAATGCACATGAAATTAAATAAATTAAGTTCATCATCAGAAATTATGGTTTACTACATAAAAACTGCATCAAGAAGGACTACTAAACATGAACCTTTGCAGTCTATACACGCGTACCGAAAGGGCAGGGAAAGCCTGTTCGTCCCGGTTCTGAATCTCATACAGTAAACGAGACTCTTCAATAGCTTGCTTCTCTCTGCGTTCTTCCGGGGAAAGGCCAAAATAGCAAGGCTCGCGACTCGTGTGATCAGAATCTTCAGCTCTTTCACGATCGGGTTTTCTGTCAAATAAAACATTCTTTCAGGAAGAAAAAAAGGGGCAATGTATAGAAAACAAAACCGCAATATCTATTCTTTCAAATAAATACCCAACTAAACTACTACACCACACTTTGTAGCTTAGGACAGCTGGCAACAAAAAAACACAGCATTTAAAGTTCTTTTCCCACCCATCGCTGTCATTGCTTTGGCCCCATACATGAGGTGACATGGTGACATGACAGAGATGAGGTTTATGCATAACCTCGACAATGAGGACGGCTGCTCACCAGGTGACTACTACCACTGCTGCTGAGTGCCAGATCTACCAACAGCAGAGGCTAACACTGAGCCTTAGATATGGCCCACTGCCCAGGGTGACCAGCACCTGGTGGCAGACTGACAACACTGTCTTTGTCCTTGCTGGAGTAGAAACTTATTCGGGTTACAGATTTGCCTTTCCTGCACGAACGCTTCTGCCAAAATCATCATCCATGAAGTTATAGAATGCCTGATCCAATATCATAGTATTCCACACAGTGCTGTTTCTGACCTTGGAATGCACTTTGTTCCCCACCATCTTAAAGCAGCTGGTCTCATAGAAAGATGGGTATTTTGCCTATACTCAGTAAACTACCGAGTAAAAGAGGAGGCAGCTCAGTGCCTAAACAAACTCTTCAAGTACAATTAATGACAACTAGCTGACATGTAAGAATTCCATCTGCTAAGAACCCACCATGGACCAAATGTCCTAGAATAGCAGAAATTATCTTATAATTAAATGATACTTAAAACCTGAAAGTCATAACTAACTAGATTAGTGTCCTCATTAGTTTTATATCAATTAGACACAAGCTAGAATTATTTGGAGAGACAATCAATTGGAAAAATTACTTTGTTAACACCAACAGATGAGTCTGTCTAGCATTTTGATGATTACTGATTGATGGGGGAGGGCCCAGGCCACAGTGGCTGGTATCCAACCCTGAGAAGGTGATCCTAGATTTATAAGAAAGGCTGAGCAAGCCATGGGGAGCAAGGCAGTAAGCAGCACTCCTCCACCGACTCTGCTTTGCCCTGTTTGATTTTCTGCCTTGACTTCTTTCAGTAACGGACTACCATGCATGTGGAAGTGTGGACTGGAATGGCCTCTCTGTCTTAGGGTTCTATTGCTTTGTAGAGACACCATGACTATGTCAAACTCTTATAAAGGAAAACATTTAACTGGGGGGCTTACAGACTTTAAAGCCCACGCACAGTGCCACACCTCAGGTCAGGGAGTGCAATGTGGTGGTTTGAAAGAAAATGACCTCCATTGTGAGTGGCAATAGGTGTGGCTTTTTTGAAGTATGAATGGCCTTGTTGGAGGAAGTGTGTCACTGTGTGGGTGGGCTTTAAGTCTCCTATGCTCAAGCTATGCTGTGACACAGTTTGCCTGCTGTAGCTATTGATCAAGATGTAGATCTCTCTTTCCTTCTCTACTACCATGGCTGCATGCGTATCACCATGTCCCACAAGATGACGGTGGATTAACCCATGAAACTGACGCTGGTTTAGTCCCTTCTGGCCGCCATGGGAATTTGAGAAACATGCAATTTGGATTATAGACAAAGGGATGATACAGTGAGTTTTCTGTTACTGGGACTATAGATGCTTTCCCTGCTGATGCTTGGGTCAAATTACACATCTATTCAATGATGCACTCATAGCATTAACAAAATAAGGAATTTTATCATGTCCTTTACATCAAAAGTGGAAACTTTCATATTTTGGGCCTTTCAGGCACTGGGAGTCGATATTCCTAAAAAGAAATTTAAGGCACAGGAGTTACTCATATGCCTCATGCATAAAATAGGAGACAAGGTAGAACCCACCCACACCATACTCATAGGGCTGTCACTCATGTTCCTATCAATGTTGGTTTTCATTTAAATGACACTGTTTATGTCTTAAATGTATATCCTCTTGACTGCACTTTCCTCTGATAAACAGCTGCCTCTGGACTGGACCTTTTTTATCTGTCTGTTTTGTGAAAATACTGACCTTTCTGCAGATTTATAAAAGGTTATGTTGGACAGCCCACATTACACCCATTTTGCTTAGAAAATCTTTGCAACTGATCAAGAGTTAAGCGGCCTCCCCCTAAAAAGTGTGGTCATTCTTTCCATCTAACTAGATCCTATAACAGTTGCAGCCACAACAGCTTTTTTACTGCCAGTTCCAGGAACGATTGATGGAGTACAAAGAGAAGTCTCAAAGATGGCCTGTATGATTAGTAAAACTACTAATTACAGCCAAACTATTAGCAGAAATTTATCAAGAGATAAGCAAATTGGGAATGTTTTACAAAATAGACATAGAGATTATGTTCAAGCATTATCTTGGTTGTCAAAAGCACAGGTTGCTTTAATGTGTCAGATTTTTCTCATACTCCTGATAGTCAAATTAAAGATCTGCATAAAGACGTAAAATCTCCCCAGTGACCTTTGAATGGCCACTGTGGTTTGAGATGGCTTTCTTCTTTCCTTGGTGTCTGTTAGCTACTCTTACACTTATGTTATACTTGCCTCCATTAGCTGGGTTAGTCATGCAAGCAATCACGACTTTGGCCTCTATTTCAGCCACAATTTTCTCTTTATAAAAAAGGGAGAAAGTGAAAGACACGGAGGTCCTTGTGATCACAAGTAAGGATGAAGGGAATGAAAAATGTTAAACACACAAGATGTCCCTTCAAAGAGAGGAATATGCAAATTGCTATCCAGCTGGCGGCTGGGAACAGATGAGGTTAATAGCCCGGTGACCTTTGTGTCTTTTGTGTGGATGAAACTAAACGGGGTACTCTCTGAGACCCTTATCATGAGTTTGTCAATGTATAGAATCCATTTTTAATGAAGGTGTCACATCTAGTCAATGTATAGAACCCATCTTTATGGAAGATGTCACATGTACTTCATAAAGCTTTTTGATGTAAGTTTTACTGTGCACATTTATCAGCAGGAAATTTTTCAGCAAATTGCTTAAATATAACTAAAATAAACTACTTAGGGGTCGGACTCTCAAAGTTTGAACCAACATTGGCTACTGAGTTGTGCTGAAGTAAACTACCTTCTTCCCTCCTGTGGATCATTATTCTGCTGCCACAGTATTTGAGAGACACCAGGAGCTACCATAAGGTTTTCCATCATTGAAAACAAAATATTAAAAACTAAAGCTTTATTCATCTATAGTATATTTTGTACCTTTTAGAAGTTCTATTAAAATACTTTGGGTTTTTTGGGGGGGGTTGTGGTTTTTTTGTTTTTTCTTTTTTAGTTTTTTGAGACAGGGTTTCTCTGTGTAGTCCTTGAACTTACAGAGATCCGCCTGCCTCCACCTCCCGAGTACTTGGATTAAAGGCGTGCACTACCATTGCCCACCAATACTTTTCAATACTATATTATAAATAAGGATGAACAATAAGTTGTAACTTAAAAAATGAATATAATAAAGCACATACAATGTCTTTCACAGCTACTTCTCTTGAAGATTACCTTATGATCTGTGAGGGTGTCCTACTTGGATTCTTATGCTCACTGGAGGATTTCTGAGACTGGGACCCTGAAGAATGACTAGAGAACCCATGCTGTCTTACACCTGAAGAAGAGTGCTGTAGGCGAGGAGGTAGTGCTGATGGGGCTTTTATTGGCTTGCTTAGACTCTTTGGCCCTCTGTAATCCGCATCTGTGGAAAACAAAAAGATCTCACAATTTCCCTGGCATAAACAACTCCACAAACTACCATAATAATCCTAAGGAACTTCAATATAAATTTACCTGAATGGGAATTTTGCCCAGAATTGGGTTTTTTCATCTTCTTTCCTGACACTGTATTCCAGCTTTCTGGGGTAGGTGGCTTGAGGTTCCTCGGTGTATGTCTTCAAAATAAATGAAAGTGTTTGTTAGTAACATCACATAATTTCATTAAGAACTAAAACAATCAGTAAAACGGGCTGTAGAGACAGCTCAGTAGTTAAGAGCATTGGCTACTTTTCTAGAGGACCTGGTCCAATTCTCAGCACCCAAAGAGTGGCTCACAACGGTCCTAACTCCAGTGCCAAAGGGTACAATACCCTCTTCTGGCCTCCTCAGGCAACAGACATGTGTGCACTGCACCTAACATGAGGGGAAACACTCATCCACATAAAATAAGTAGATGTCTAAGAATCATTTTAAAAGAATAAAACACATATAAGCATACTATTAGAGATTTTATATCTGCAATATTTGCCAACTTTAGCCAGGTTTATCAACACATGCCTTTAATCTCTGAGTTCAGAAGCCAACCTGGTCTACTCAGTGAGTTTTAAAATAGCCAAGTTTATGTGAGACCCGTCCCTAAAACTAAATATTTAAATTTATATAGAGACAGAGAGGGAAAACTAAGTCAACTGCACACACTTAGTCTAAGCCCTCCCAGAGGCAGATGCAGGTCAGTATCTGTGAGGCCAACCTCATCTCAACTTTCAAGACACCAGTGCAACAAAGTGAGATGTTACCTCAAAATAAAAATTTTTGAAGTTTATTAAAATTACTAAATAAGGGCTGGGTGTGGTGGCACACGCCTTTAACCCCAGCACTCTGGATACAGAAGCAGGCAGATCCCAGTGTGAAGAAAGCCTGCTCTACAGAGCGAGCCCCAGAACAGCCAGGGTTACCCAGAGAAACCCTGTCTCCAAAAAAAAAAAAAAAGAAAAAGAAAAAATATAGGGAAGAAGTGATGGTTATCTTGGAGCTTACTGTGTTATATACTTTACAGTCATATGTATTTAAATTTGTTTTTTCAGTAAAGGTTAAGGTATAATTTATTACCTTTTCCTCTAGTAAAGGTAGTGATAACTCAAACTAAAGGTACGCTAAAAATGACACTGTGATAATAGTATCTTTCTATTATATCTGACAATACTGACAGTTTAGAAACAAAGTCTCACTATGCAGCCTTAGTTTACCTGAACAGACTACTCTGTAGACCCGTTGGCTCAAGAAATCTGCCTAACTCTACTTCGTGAGTGATGGGGTTAAGTGCATAAACTTCCATACCCAGCCACTGACAAACTACTGACTGCACGGAACCCAGCACTAAGAAAATAGAAAAGAATATGGTGCCTGTTCTCAACGTCCCTACTTTCATAAATTCACCAATTTCCAATTGCTTTTGATGAAGAATATTCAATACCCATTAAAATTAACTATTATTTCTTTTGTAAAATGCACCAGCAAGCATAACAATCTAATTAAACTCCAACTGCTTTTCTTTACCTAGGGATGTGAACATTCTGGATCTGTCGATATTTCTACCATGTTTTTCAAGGCACAGCCTCACTGACCCTGAAGCTCACTCTATGTGGCTAGTTGAGCACCTGGTGTTCACCTACCTCTGACATCCAACTCTGAGGGTACAGGCATACACAGCCATGCCTCGCTTTCATGTAGACTTTGGAGACTCAAATTCACATCCTTGTTTTGTTGTTTATTCTGTTTCGTTTGGTTTGTTGTTTTGTGTGTGTGTGTGTTTTCTGCTTGGTTGGTTTTTTTGTTTTTTTTTTTAATGAGATGGGGTTTGTGTACCCCTTGGCTGCCCTGGACTTCTATGTAGACCAGGATGGTCTTGAACAAGGTATTTGCCACACCCAGCTTCAAAATCAGTTCCTTTGCAAGCAAGCAGTATTCATTTTTGTAAAAGTGGAAATCGAAGAGGTAGCAAACACCTTGACCGAAAAATACGTACTTTTTCCCCAGTTCTTCAGATAAAACTGGTCCATTCTCAGAGTGAACCCCATGAATGTCTGCATTAGAAAATTTTCCATTATGATCCAATCTAACCTGTTGAACACCAGAAAGAAAAATCAGATACCTGATTTTTTTCACATATATCAGTAGCTCATTTTTAAATGTGTATTTTCTTTAACTAAATATAAACATTTATCCAGAAAAACAAATGACAAAAAGGGATACAACACAATCTAAGATACTATACCTCTCTACCTAATACTATTTATGCTGTCAAAGATCGTTTGAATTGTTCTCAATACTTCAAGAAATGGCAGCACAATCTAGCAAACTCCAAACAATACTCAGCAACTGTCAACCCATTCACACTTTCAATCTCTGGCCCGGGCCTTCCCACTGACTAGCAACAACTTTGGTCAATCTACTTATCTTGTTTGCTCATATGCAAACTAGTAACAGTAATCATACAACAGAGAACACCTGGAGAGGCAATGGCATCACATCACACAGGGGCCAGCAGTCCTCTACACAGCAGCCATTGCACAAATTTTCCCATTCATTCTTATGATACCAAAACCATGTAGAAACGCTGATTCAACTGTTCCTTACCATCCCCACTGACAGTAGTAGCTAACTGCACAGGCAAGGACTGCATCAGATAAGACAGCACAGTAAACAGTAGCTCTGCCCTACAAAGACTCACACTGTTCTAAGACTCCTAAGTTGACATCTCATTCCTCATTAGTTACAACAGGACACTGCTTTTTCAATAAAAAAGACTTTTAAAGGCTAATTTTAAATTTCTTAAAATGTTATATGTAGGTTTCTGCCACCTATGGAGTGCTAGCAGATGTCAGAAGAGGGCACAAGGTTCCTTGAGTTGGAACATGCATCTGTAAACCCCCTGATGTGAGTACTAGGAACCAAATTCAAGATCCCAGAAGATGAACAAGGGCTCTTACCTACTGAGCCATCTTGCCAGTCTTTTTACTGTGTTTTCTTTTTGAGACAGGATCTCACTATGTAGCCCCAAACAGATCTGGAATCAATATGTAGACTAGGCTAGCCTTAAGCTCACAGAAATCCACTTGCTCCTACTTCCCAAATGCTGAGATTAAAGGCATATACCACCACATCCAGATTCAACAGCCTTTTAAAAGGTAATTTCTATCAAAAGTTTAAAGTATATCCTACATACTTGACTAAACAAGTATCACTTCAGTTGTTTAAGATTTCAATTAGATTATATTCAAAAAAAACGGACAATGACCCGGCACTCAGGAGGCGGAGGCAGGAGGATCTCTGAGAACTCCAGGTCAGCCTGGTGTACAGAGTTCTGGACCAGCCAGGACTATACAGCGAGACAGTGCCTCAAAAACAAACCAAAACACTACCACCAAAAACAGCAACATGGTTTTACAGACATACAAATTTCAGCAAAGATGATTCTATTTATATTTAGGATAAATGAACTATGAAATACAAATTATAAACAGTCAAATTTTAGTTAATGGTTCCTTTAGAAAATAAGATTCAGGCAAAGTCACTTTCTCTTTTAGTAGAAATCACTTACATGGCATTTATCTCCAACTTCATATTGTAATCCAGCAGCAATGGAATAATCACGCTTTTGTTGAGCTGTTAGTTAAAAAAAAAATTCAATAAAACACCAACTTTACCTCATTATTTTCAAGTGCTACAAAGCACTACTACAGAAACTTCAGGATTAACTCACCTTGCTTGGACTTCAACCAAATTTCATACTCCACATTTCTATAAACTGCTGGATTAAGCGACTTAAGAACCTTTCTGGACAAAGGAAGGTCAGCCACGTTCCCACCATTCTCTGAGTTCTAAATAAACAATGTCAGAAGTCCAATCAACAAGAAAGGCTTTTAAAACATCACTTCAAATATGTAAAAAAGCAAAACAACAAAAAAAATTAAGAAAAAAAGCAGGAAGCAGCAAAAAAGTGTGTTGATAACAAAGTGACCCCCAACTATTGAAAATGACCACAGAATTATAGACTCTTTTATATTAAAGATTAAAAATACCTCACTGCCCGAAGGCTTAAATCCATTTACATCAGTAGCAGCAGTACTCTTACTCCTACAAAACAACAACAACAACAACAAAAAAACATAATTAGGAAATGGAAAATGAATCTTATGTAATCAACCTTTGTTTTGTTTTGAGACAAGGTTTCTCTAACAGCTGGGACTGCCCAGAAACACACTTTGTAGACCATGTAGACCAAGCTGGCCTAGAATTCAGAGATTCACCTGCCTCTGCCTCCTGTGAGCTAGGATTAAAGGTGCGCACTTCTAATGTAATCAACTTTTAACCTCAACCAAAACACTCAAAATCCAAAATGTGAGGCTCCAGTAAGTTCTTAAATTTTAGTATATGTAAATACATAACACACATTTATAAAATAAAGTGTTATGTGTGTATAAATCATATTACTAGTAATTTTTACTGACCTAGTAAAAACAAAAACAAAAATAGGAGTGGTGGGATGTACTATTTTGAGTGGTGGAATAACAATCTACAAAAGATTCAACATAAAATTTTCAGTAAGTATTAAAAAGTTTTAAAAGAACTGTTATAACCAAACTATAACATTTATAACAAAAAACAAATGTCTAAAGTCATAACCAACCTTTTGCTACAAATATACTTCCATAATCCTCAGTGCAACCCAAGAACCATCATCAGCCTACTTGTCATTCATTTACTCTACAAGTATGAGAGCCTACTATGTGCTGCTTAGTATGCACTGTTAGACTGCCGAGAGACAAAAACCGTTCTGGTACAAGCCAGTAAAATCTGATCAGAACATAAGAGCTACCAAGCACTATGGCACAGGAAAGGTGCCAAGCACAGCAATGTAAGATAAAACACAAAGCGTGAGAGGGAGGGAGCCTTACTGAAACAGATGCCTTTGAAAAAGAAGTAACGAGACAGTGCATCATATCATATCTAGTATTCCATGCAGAGGAACAGCACACACAAAGACTCAATGTGGAGAAAAGGTTCAAGATGAAAAGGTTCCATGCAGCCCCTGCATAGAACAGTATCTGCCTTTCTATCCTACCCCTCCTCAAGAAACCAACCCCTAGGTTTCAAAACCTCCAAATATTCACAAAAGGGAAGAGCCTGGAGTCTAGACCAGAAATCCCTCATCATTTCAAGTACACTTCAAGACCCATCAATATGAATGTGAAAACAACATAAGAGTGAGCATATTACACCTCTTTCCTAATTACCTCACTAAACTAATCAATCCTTGACAAGGTTATACAGTGTTTGTCCTCTCTCAAAACCGATGTGGCAAGAAAGCCCCCCCCCAGTACAGAGACTCACACTCGGAGCCTGCCACATGCTAAGCACTCTAGCTGCATGTATATATGCCATATGTATGTATGTATGTATGTATATAGCTACAGCAATTTTAATTATGTGTATACATTATATATGCACATAATGTAATATATACATATATATAGCTAAAGCAATTTTTAATATAATGGAAAGGTAAGCCACATTTCAAGGGAAGTATAAACGGGAAAACCAAGCACAAGAAAATCACACAAATCCTATCACATACCTGCTCCCCTTCCCAGGTAAACTCTCCAGCTTACCAGGCCCCTGTGTCCTGGATTTGCTTCTATAATACTACAAATATCTACACCATTCAAGAGACAAGTTTAAAGGCTCTCTGACTCTAAGTACAGGTAGCATGTTAAAACAATCCAGCCATCCTCTCAATTTCTCTGCTTACTAACATATCTGGATCAGGTTATGTATCTGGAGAGAAGAAGGGCAATTTCTCATTTGGGCACAAGTAATCAGCATATGTTAGGACAAAACGGACAGCAGCAAACACTGCTCAAGTATAAAATAATGGTCAAATCTTCATTGCAAATAAGAAAATTTTAATTTAACACATTCCTAGAAGCCAAGCATGATGATACACACCTGTAATGCAAGCCCTTGGGAGGTGAAGACAAGACAATCAGGGCTTAAGTCATTCTTAGCTACACAGTGAGTGAGCTCCAGGAATACCTAGGCCTTGACTCAGAAACAAAACAAGGGCCAGAGAGATGGTCCTGTTGGTCTTAAGATCCCATACAGATAGCTCGTGCAGAGGATCCAAGTTCAGTTCCCAGAACCTAGTCAGGAGGCTCACAAAGATTCTAACAACAAAGTATCTGACACCTTGGCCTCTGCAAATTATCTACATTCACACATAAATACATAATTTAAATATTTAAAAAATAAATAGCTAAAAAACACAGATCCACCAGAGGACGCAGCTCAGTGTAGTGTTTTGTCCAGACGTAGGATACTATGAATTTACTCCCTAGTACAGAAAAGAGAAAGGGTCTGGAGTCTGAATCAACAGACATACATACATTTTAAGGCATATTTGAAAGAACTAGGCATTCTCCCAGACAGTGGTGGCACACATCTTTAATCCCAGCACTCAGGAGGCAGAGGCAGGCGGATCTGTGAGTTCAAGGCCAGCCTGGTCTACAGAGTGAGTTCCAGGACAGCCAGGCCTCTTTCACAGAGAAACCCTATTCCACATGTGTATTAATTACATACATACAAATTCTCATTTACCAAAACAAATTCAAAGATGCCCCCATCATAAAATCTAGGTCAAATTCATGGCAGCAATAAAGAAACTTTACTGAAGATCAACATTTTATGAATACATCTTAACATATGAAAATGTTCCTGAGGTGACACCAGAAAGATACTTTAAGACTGAAATGTAGCCGGGCGTTGGTGGCGCACGCCTTTAATCCCAACACTCGGGAGGCAGAGGCAGGCGGATCTCTGTGAGTTTGAGACCAGCCTGGACTACCGAGCGAGTTCCAGGACAGCCTCCAAAGCCACAGAGAAACACTGTCTCGAAAAACCAAAAAAAAAAAAAAAAAGGCTGAAATGTATTCTTACCTGCAGCTGTCATCCTCAGAATCTGATATTTCACTGTTGCTGTCATCAGCCATTTCAGACGTCTCTAGTCCCATCATGATTTTACTAACATCAGTTTTAAATACCTTCTCATACAGCAATTCATAAAGGAGAGCTGCAATTAAAGAGGCACAGCAGGCAACATTACATACATAAGGTAACAGTACCATTCAACTTCTACAATTCTTAGTAGGTATATAGAACCTTCACAGCCAACAGCACCATTTACTCTTAAAGACACCTACAAAGTGCACATTAAGTTTGAAGTCATGCTTTAGAATACATTTTTTAAAACAATTAAAAGTATCAGATCTATGATGCAAACATGACAGGAAAAATGAAAACACACACAGTGAGCAATTATTTCATTCCACATACACTATACTTAAGCTGTGTCCTCACGTTTAATCCCAGCACATGAAATACTATTTTCAGTCAACAGGCTTAGTGATGTCACACAAACGGCCTAACCCTAACGTTTCGGAAGGAAAAATTAGGCAAAATTAAGTTTGCAGGAACGTAGCAACATGAGAACACGCTAACAAGCCAGGAGACGTGGCTCTCTCATGTTAGTTTTCCCGCTAGCTGTGACATTTCATGTTAGTTTTCCTACTAGCTGTGACATTAGATTCCTATACAACACCAACGAAGGCTGTTTGTTCCCTGCGATGTGGCTGCATGTTTGAATCTTACACAATGAACTAAAAGACACTTAGGGACTTGGAAGATAGCTCAGGTGATAAACGTTTGGCATGTAAGCATTAAAAGCATGGTTTGGATGCCTAGCACTCATATAAAAAAGCCAAGTGTGGCACCATGTGCTTATTATCCTACCACCAAGGAAGTGGGCGACAGGAGCCGCTCTACCGGCTTGCTGGCCAGTCAGTCTAGCCAAAAAGGTGAGCTGCGGCCAGATTCAGTGAGAGATCCAGGCTCCAAGTGTAAGCTGGAGAGCCATCAGGGACAGCCAAGCTGACTGCAGCCGTGTCACTCCCTGCCCACCTCCCACATTCTATACACACGCACACCTAATACAAAACAGCAGAAGGGAAGAAAGAAGGCTGGCCTCTAGCTTTCACGTGCGCGCACACACACAAACATAATAGGCACACTCACACAAAAATACATTCTCAGTCATCGCAAAAAGAAAGAATATTTATGTGGTCAACTTAAGAAAGCTTAAAAACAGGGAAATAATAACTTACCAAAAAAATTGTAACAAAAATTCAAAACCCCAAGCTGTGAGACTCATTTTCACAATGTACTTCCTGAAACTACGTGCACTAAGTTCAAGCTCAGAATCACCCACAATCAGAACAGTAAGGCAGTCTACAAAGGCATCTTTCCCAACACTGAAATGTCCTGACTCTGACTAGTTAGAAAATGGGGAGACACAATCCAAAAGATAGCTAAATATTCCCACCTCAAAAATGTAATATGAAATTTCAAAATGTTTACACTCAGACTTTTACTGGTCACTTAAGACTAGAAAAACTTGGGTGTGTAGTACATGCCTAATTCCAGTAATTGGGAAGCAGAGGTAGATGATTAGTCAAGGCTATACAGTGAGATCCTGCCCCAAAGAACAAAAAGGAATAATAAGAAAACAATTACATAAAACACTACAACTCCTATGAAGAAAAAGTACTTAAAGCAAGAGGGGCCATTTCTCTCCTCCTACAACAATATCTCATGTGTGCAGAAGGGGAAGAATTCAGCCAACCAGGCAATATTTGGGAAAACCTGTAGAAACAGGATGTCAATGAGGTAGCGATTGTTACTGACTAGGTAGAGGGTAGGGTGCTAGTGAGCATCCTACAAAGCACAGGGCCACAAGAATCTGGCCCAAAGTCTCTGCAGGGTCAAGGGTAGGGACCCTCCCTTTAAACACAATACAATCAAATGCCGCATTTGTTCAATCTACACACTAACAACTTGAAAAGTCAACTAAGGCTGTGTAGCTTAGGCTGTAACTCCTATATAAACACGAGAAGATACTTACACTGGCACACAGCAGAACTATCTTTATACGTTATAGGATAGACAATATCATAATGGTTTCCATTCGAAAAACACAGTAACACCTGAAGAGAAAGCAAGTGACATTTCGGTCAGTCACACATTGACATTCACAAAGTAAGCTGTGTCTCCAAAACCTCTGAAGTAAGCATTTTCAAAGCCATATTTCAGATCCAACACAACTTCAATTGTCTGTCACACTACAGCACACCACATTATGGTGAAAAGCCAGGCAACACTTGCAGTGCTAAGTTCTCTCTGGTGTTCTGTTTGTTGTTTTTGAGACAGAGTCCCATGTGTCCCAGGCTAGCCTCCTGCACACTGTATAGTAGAAACTGGCCTTGAACTCCTGACCCTCCTGTCCTCACCTCTCCAGTGCTAGGGTTACAGGTAAGCACCACCATGCCCACTCTGAAAATGTTTGCAGAACCACAAAACAGAAACAGTAAGTAGTCACAAGTGGTTGCACACATCTGTAATCCTAGCATTGAGGGCAGCTGAGGCAGGAGGACTGCATGCCAGAAGACTGTCTACATAAAGAGAATGTCTCACAAAAACAAAAATGAACACCAGACATCACATATGCTTTGAGCTATGTAAAGAACAAGGATGTTGAGCTGTTGGGATGCTTTGGTGGTTAAGAGCACTTACTGTGCTAGCAAAGAACCCAAGTTTGTCTCCCAACACACACATCTAGCAGCTCACAGCCACAAGCTGCATCCAGCTCCAGGGGAATCCGACACCTCTGGCTGGCCTCTGAGCATCTGGAGTCTCATGCACACACCCACGCACATACTCATAAACAAAAGGAAAAAATTTTTTAAGTTAGAAGATTATAAGAAGTCATTCCAAGTTAGTTTAGTGAGGAACTCAAGAGGCTAAGGTAGCAGAATTAAGAATTTGGTTCAGTATGTGCTTCACAGCAAGACTTTGGAAAGAAAGGGGGAGGAGGAGAGGGGAAAGAGGAGCAGAGGAGGAAGAGGCAGAGGGAAGAGACAAATCAGGGGGAAGAGAAGAGGGAAGGGGAAAGGAAAAGAAGGGGGAAGGGATTGGGAAAGAAAATATTCCAAAAGCACAGTAATGCTAACTTCTATGAGTCAATCAAAGTCAGTTTAAGTATTTTCTAAGTAACAGACTACTGCTACACAAAGAAATCTGCAATGCTGTTTGAAACATGCCACAGTCCAAAAAACTGACATGGAGAGCTCAGATCAAGTCCCACCAACACCCACCTTTCCCTTCCCCACCCTCAAACCTCTCCTTGTCTTTAAACCATAGCATCTCATCACTCCCTCCCCACACACACACACGTGACAGTGTCCTTCGCCTCGGCCTGCATGATGCCACTAAAGTAAAATTCTCTTACACTGAATCAGCTTGTTTTTCTTTCTAGACTGCATGAAACTTCCCTGGTGTTTCTATTCTATGACCACACGCTGTGGTGATACCAAATTTACCTTCCCAAAGGGAAACAATCACCACAGTGTCTGGACACAAACAGCCAACTTCCACAAGTTATTTGACTACTTAATATCATGATCAAAGTAATAATCTGGGTCACATAGACGTATTTTTCTTAAAAATATGGCTCAATTACTAACTTTAAAACACAATACCATAACTTTCATATAGCAATATTACAACAGTCATTTAAAATTATAGCTTAGGAGGTCAAGGTAATAAGTATTTTTAAAAATTTCAAAAAAAATCTTACCTTTTCAGGAAAATTATTTTCAGTTACTTGTGAAGGAGAAACATTTGGCTCCTGATATATTACAAAATCTTTCCTGAAAATAAAACTCAGATATTACTTTTCAAAAAATATTTTATTGATTTAAATTATTCATTTATGTATATATCAGGCAATATTCTAGGCACTGAAGACAGAGCAGAAAAAAAATGAAATAACTACTATAAAATACTGGAAGTACTGTTTCCAAAAACAAATTCAAATTAATTCACATGTAAGACATACAACATAAGTAACTTTAGAAATAAATTAAACTTTGTGATGGCATACTGTTTATGATTTATTAAATCTCCACTGGAGATCACATTGGCAAAGCAGCCACACTAGTTAGTTATAGAAGTTAGGAGATGGTGGTGGTACACACTTTTAATCCCAGGATTAAGAGGTAGACAGACCTCTGTTAGTTCAAGGGCACACTGATTACATGAAATTGATCCAGTCCTAAAAGAAACAGCTCACACAAAAGGTGATCCCAGCACCGGGGAGCACAGGCCTTTAATCCCAGCACTAAGGAGATGGAGACAGGAGGATATGTCTGGGCAGAGAGAGGAATATGAGGAGGAGGAGACAGGCTCTGAGAGCCTTTCACCTCTGTGAAGTGCAGACAGGATCGTCATTTCAGCTGGGTAAAGGTTAAGATCTACTGGCTTGGCTGCTTTGCTTCTCTGATCTTCAGCTTGAGGCTTGAATCCCAGTATCTGTCTCTCGCTTTTATTTTTCATGCTACAAAACCTGGCACCCCCAGATATTTGAGCTCTGTTCCTAGGGCCATTCAATGCCCTGAGAGTAAGTCCTTTCTCTATAAAACTGGTAAGTAGTTTTTAGGACATAGTCAAACTTTTTTTTCCTGTGCCTTTTTTCAAAATTCTCTCAAGAATTACAACATTGATATCTAGCCATTAAAATCCAACTGATGCAATTAAATAAAACAGACAAAAAGTCTTAGGGAAGATCTTTCACAACTGAGGTATAAAACAGCTTTTAGTTTTTAAAATTTTTAGTTGAATGTAATCTACAAATTTTCCAGTTATTTTATTCTTATTGCTTTATTTAAGAGTTATACAGTTTACCTGTACATAAGAGAAAGGGCACTTATTTCCACTTGTCCTACCCATTCCTGCAGTGAGGGAAGAAAAGTTAGCATGTAAATTTAGCATGTAAATATCTCACTTTTTAGAATGTACATCATACACACTATGGCCTACAATGTTGATATTGAGCATCTTCTAATGTCCAGACACAAGGCATGCACAATGTGCAACTAAAACACCAGAAACATAAAACGTATCTTTCTTTGAAGTAAAGTAGCTGGCCGTGGTGGCCACAGCAGTGGCGCACACCTTTAATACCAGCACCAGAGGAAGGGGAGGGGATCTTCCGCCAGTCTACAGAGTGAGTTCTAGAACAGCCAGGGCTGTTAAACAGAAAAACAAACTAAAGTCTCTCTAATAAGCTTAATGTATCTTCTTATAGGTGACCTTCCAAATAAATTCTATTATAATCTGAACAAGTAATTATCTCTTCTTCCTTAACCAAATTATCAGCCATCAAATGTAAAATGAGCAGTGGTAACACGCATCATCAATCCCAGCATTTGGGAGGCAGAGGCAAGTAAATCTCTGTGAGTTCAAGGCCAACCTGGTCTACAGTGAGTTCCAGGACAGCCAGGAACACAGAGAAACCCTATCTCAAAAACAAACAAACAAAAAAACAAATACAAGGGGGAGGGAGGGAGGGGAAGGGAGAGAAGCCAAAATATTAAAAAAAAAATGGAATAAAGTCTTTCAAAAATACACTGGCAATGCAGGACTTGTGTGTAAAGGAAGAACTTTTAATTCTAGACACCAGCAACTATTTTTTTAAAAAAATAAAAATAGATTGATGATTTTGAGGAACCAGGTAGATAGAGGACTAAGCACAAAAAAGTATGAGGGAATTTCTTTTCTGTTTTTATTTGTTTTGTTTTTCTAGATAGGGCTTCTCTGTGTAGCCCTGGCTATCCTGGAGCTGACTCTGTAGGCCTGGAACTCAGAGATCTGCCTGCTTCTGCCTCCTAAGTGCTAGGATTAAAGGTGTGTGTTACCATCGTCTGGAAGGGAATTTTTTAAGAGTTACTGATTGAAATTGCCAGTATTTGTGCTGGTGATTTGTGAAAAACTAAGCTGTGGAAAAATGTTAAATCCCCATGGCATATTACATGCAAGAGAGGACATCAATTTGGCTTCAACAAAGTTCTCATTACAAAGATTTGAAGCATTTTTTCTGTGTTCTCCCAGTACTGTAAAGGATAGAGGACTCAGGGGTAAGGATCACTGACTGCTCTTCCAGGACCTGGGCTCAATTCCCAGCACCCACATGGCAGCTCACAACTGTCCACAGGATCTGACAACTTCACATCAATGCACATAAAATAAAGTTAAAAAAAAAGCCAACAAAGGCATTATTTTTAAAAAGGACAGAAATGCTTCCCCCTGAGGATTAGAGGAAGCAATGGAACTTATCAATCAACTCTATTAGTCTTCCCTGTATCAGAAGAGAGGTGGAAAAACAGGGTGGTCTTCTATGTATGTTGCCAATAATGAAAAAACTGTTCCAGAGGTACCTAAGCAACAGTAGGGGGTTCTTCAGAAATACACCTAGCTAGACAACCTATCCCAGGTGCTCAAAAAATGTCCCTTCAGGTAGACCAGCCCCCAAACCACCCCCAAACAAATCAAGATCAGTTGTTTACACAGGCTCATTGCTTCTGTGGCCTCCCCACTTTCTAATCAGGACTTTACAACCAAAGCCTGAAGATTATGAAACATTGCAGTTTTCTAATTAAACTAATGAATGCCCTTCATAATTCTTTGTAGGTTCTCTACAGCCAGCAAAAATCACCTATAGTTTCTGTCATTTAAAGACTACTATTAACAGGTTGTTTCTCCTGTTTATGTATCAATTTTACGGTCAATAAATACATACTGGGCACCTAAATTAGAAGGTTAACTATGAAAATATCAAAGCAATAAAAATTATTTCTCAATCTTTGTCTTCAAAAAGACTTGTAAATAGAGGGAGAACTCCATGTTCAGGAAAATTAGTCTGCTCATATTATCTGAGGGAAGCTATTTTGGAATTACTCAAAAACAGCGTGGAGTATATATATTCAGTGAAAAAGCCTATGGAGGTATTGTCTCTAAGACTGGAGTGATACTGCAGTTATTCTTTTTAGATACAACCACCCACTTTTCTGTATATAAGAATTTTTTTTGTTTTTGTTTTGGAAGGGTTCCATTATGTCACCCTGGCCACCCTGGCCACCCTGGTACTCTGTGGGGCTGGAGAGGCAGTCCAGTGACAAGAGCATTTAAAAGATCAGGGTTCAGGGGACTGGAGAGATGGCTCAGAGTAAGAGCATCTCTTCCAGATGTCCTGAGTCCAATTCCCAGCAATCACATGGTGGCTCACAACCATCTCATTAAGATCTGGTGCCCTCTGCTGGCATCCAAGAATACATGCAGACAGAACACTGTATACATAATAAATATATACTTTGGACTGATGAATGAAAGGAAGGAGGGAGAGAGGGAGAGAAGAGGAGAGGAATGGAGGGAAGAAGGAGAGAGTGAGATAGATAGATAGGTAGGTAGGTAGGTAGGTAGGTAGGTAGGTAGGTAGGTAGGTAGGTAGGTAGATAGCTCAGGGTTCAGTTCCCAGTACCCACATGGCAGCTCACAATTTGTAGTTCCAACTTCCTCTTCAGACCTCAGGGAGGTGGGGGGACACCAGGCATACACAGGGTATATAGACATACATGCATGCAAAACACTTATACAAATAAATCCTTTAAAATATATTCTTGCTGGGCAGTGGTGACACACTTCCTTTAATCCTAGCACTAGGGAAACAGAGGCAGGAGGATCTCTGAGTTTAAGGCTGGCCTGGTCAACAAAGTGAGTTCCAAATCAGCCAAAGCTACACAGAGAACCATCTCAAAAAACAAAAATTATTTTTCCAAAAGAAAACCATGTAAAAGAGAATGTAGAAAACACTTGAGTCCTCAGATGCAGGCAGAATGGTGGTTAGGGAGCAGCAAGCAGAAAAGGAGGTGGTAATGTGGATAGAGGAGCAGCTTCCAACGCAACGCATGAGTGCCCTCCAACTGCCTACACAACTAATGAAGACAACTGGGAACTTCCCCACACCCAGAAATGATGGCTGAAGTGACAGATGACAGTGGACTGACCCTCTGCACTGTAAGTGAGCCACACATTAAATGTTTCCCTTGTAAGAGTTGCCGTGGCCACGGTGTTTCTTCACAGCAGCAGAGACCCTAGCTAAGACACGGGGCCTGAAACACACCGTGCTAAGGAAACTGCTGCTAAGCTGTATGCCCTTCCTACATTCTAAGACACAGATTTTCAGTGAGCCTTTTAAGCAGAGAAGGAAAGGGAAACATAGGAAGGACAAAAGACCTCTCCCTAAAGAAGTCAAGCTTTGTCCCATCCAAATCACACACATACCCTAGCAGTCATCCCAAAAGTCACCCATGTAGTTCCAGACCTTGTGTGTACCCTCCCGTGTCATAATGACAAACAAAAGATAGGACTCTCCTCAGCAACACAACTTCTAGGAAGAGTTCTAATTATCTTTCTTTTTTTCTTTTAGAGACAAGGTGTCTGTGTGGCTGTCCTGGAACTCACTGTGTAGACCAGGTTGGCCTCAAACTCACAGAGATTCACCTGCCTCTGCCTCCCGAGTGCAGGGATTACACCACCACCAGGCCCAACTATCTTTCAAAGAAGCACTGCACAAAGGGTACAATCGCTTCAACTGTCATACAATGTACTACCAATCTTCCATTAACTAATTTTAATACATATTTGGATACACACAAGAAATACAACTAATACATACCTGTGGATTTTCCAGACGTTTCAAATAGTCTTCAAATGGCCCTTCTATAAACTACAAGGGAAAAAGAGGTATTAGCGGCCTGGCTCAGTGGGCTACAGCACTTGTCACTTTTGCAGTCCCCAGCACCCACATGCAGCAGCACACAACCACCCGTATCTCTAGCTCCCTCTTCTGGCTAAGGTATCTGAACACATGTACCTTAGATGTGCTTACACATACATGCAAGAACATATACATTACATTTTTTTTTCTTTTCTTAGACAGGGTTTCTCTGTGTATCCCCGGCTGTCCTGAAACTCACTCTGCAGACCAGACTGGCCTCAAACTCACAGAGATCTGCCTGCCTTTGCCTCCCGAGTGCTGACAATAAAGGCATGTGCCACCATTGCCCAGCAAAAAACAAAAAACAACAACAAACAACTTTTAAAATTAGGAAGACTATCTGAGAAACATGCAAACAGCAGCAGGATTACCGTGTGAAGTTCACTTTGAGTCACAGGGTTCTTATACAAGCCTAGACTTTATCAGCAATGAGTATCTGTGTAAATCCTTAATAATGACAATGTAAACACAGTAAAGAATGTAAAGGAGGAAATGTTGCTGGGAAAGGTTTCCGGGAGAGGATAACTCAAGGTAAGAGCTGGATGGACACAGGGAGAAGCCACTACAGAGAGTGCCGATGTAGCGGAAGGAAGAGCACAGTGGGGAGACCTGAGCATCTAGACAGCTGAAGCAGGCAGCCTGGCAGCAAGCTGAATGAGAGGACAGGCCACAGAGGGCCTGGAAGGAGCAAGACACAACTTTCAACAAGACAAAAAGGGCATTGCAGACCACTGCAGACGGCACTCTGAACTGAGAAATATCAAAACAAGACTTTATTTAGCAGTGGTCAGTAGTGGGTATAGGCAAAATGAAACAAGTAACAGAAATTATGCTAACCACAAAGAGTAATAGGAAATCAGATAATTTCAATGAGATTTTTTTTACAGCACTGCTTGCTTTGTTTCTGTATCATAAAATAAGTTTACTCAATCTATACCCAACCATTTTTCATTTTCATTGAAACTACATAAATTTTAAAATGCGCTTTGGTAGTTTGAATGATGTCTCTACCTAGGCTCCTATATTTGAATGTTTGGTCCCAAGATGGTAGACCTGTTTAGGAAGAAGGGCTAAGAGGTGTGGGCTTGGAGGAGGCTGTCACTAGGAGTGATCTTGGAGGCTTCAAAAGCCCACACCATTCAGTTAGCTCTCACGGTCTCCAGCCTGCCAATCAGATTAAGCTCTCGCTACTGCTCCAGCACCATGCCTGCCAACATGCGCCCACTCATGATGGCCATAAATAAACTTACTGCCCTGTGCAACCATGAGTCCCAAATTAAATGCTTTCTTTAAAAAGTTGCCTTGGTCGTGGTGCTTTGTCAAAGCAGTAGAAAAGTTAATTAAGACAAGTGCTAAACAGTATTCTTATCTGGTCATTAAGTTCAATTTTATTTAACTTACAGTACTAGTTAACTTAGCAAGAGTGATACACTTAAACACAGAACACCCACAGAATCTTTATAGATTGTAATTCTTTTATAAATTGTATACTATCAAATTTCAAAACTGTCCTAAATCCCACCATGTAAACACATGTAAGTGCCTTACTAATCAGGCGCTGTTTTTCCATGACATGTTTACTTCCAAACCAAACAAACCCTAAAACCTCTCACATCTGGAAGACCTTCGTAGTATCCTAACACAAACCTACATCCAGTCTGAGTCTCTCCTTCCTAAGCACCTAATTCTCAGAGGTCACACTAAACAGAGGCCACACTAAAAACTCCTGCTCACAAACCCTTTTTCCAATTCTTCAAAAGAAAAAAAAAAAACTAGAAGGTGGTTTTGTCTCTATTTTGGGTTTTTGCTTGTTTTCTTTGAGACAGGGTTTCTTGTATAACCTAGGTATTCTGGAACTCCCTCTGTAGACCAGGCCAGCCTCCAATTCAGAGATCTGCCTGTCCCTGTCTCCCTTGTGCCGGGATTAAGCCCTGCACCACACAGCTGAAACTTTTTATTGGAAATTCTATCTTCTGACCTTATCTCCTAAAGTTATGTTGACTAAATAAATATATGTAAGGCACTCAAAACAATACCTGGCGTACAGGGTTCAATGCTAAAAACGTAAACTATTATCAACAGTTTTATCTCAAGGCTATAACGACTAATTCTTGGTAATTCCTGCAAATATTACAGATTACACTTTCCCAGCCCTATGCTGCAGCCACCATGTCCTAATCCTTCCATATCACCAGGTTCTGCATTATCAGCTTTTTAATAAGACAAGTTTTTATCACTACCCACCCTAAACCACAGTGCTCTCAATTGGCTTAAATACAGGGATACGAACTAGCAACACACTGAGAACTCTTTGCATGAGAACACTTAAGTTTTATTTATTGATAAAATGTCAATATTCATTATCAGTCAGTAAAGTTGTCATTCTATAGAAACCTAAGTCTTAAAATCAGTAACTCAAATGCTAGAAGGATTTGTTCCACTAACTACAACTACATACTGAGAAAGTTATACTACATTGCTGTACAACATTTTATTAATTATAGAATTCTGATATATAATTCCACAAGTTAAACATTTATAAATCCCCTTGATAAAAACAACTGCAGAACATGATTTTTACTCTGGATCTCAATCTGTTTTCAGCTCAGTTAATTAACAATCACAGATACCACTATTACTCTCAATACCTATGCCCTCACCAAGTCAAATAAGCTCCCAAGCTTAGTCACCCTTCCATGCCTCACGGTTCACAGTGCCTTAGCCATCATCAACTTGCTCTACTGAATACGTTGAATATTTTTACATCCTACACTAACATCCAACTTGTAGTTATGTTTAACTCTGGGTGTCTGCAGAGGTCAGGATGTTAGACAGGACCCATGAAATAGAGAAGGGAAAAGCCTCAAGGCAAAAGGGATTGTAGAACAAATAAGTGATTTCAAAGAATAGGTGGGGAACAGAGGTAAAAGGTTTATGTGGGGAAAAAAGCAAGGGAATGACAAAGTAGAGATGGAGGGTAGATTAATCAAAACTACAGATATTTTAAAAGCATTAAGGAAAGCCAGGCATGGTGGCCCACACCTTTAATCCCAGCACTTCCCAGAAGCAGGGGGATCTCTTTGAGTTCCAGGACAGGGCTATTCCATAAACAAAGTATCTTGAAAAGGGGGAAAAAATAAGCCTCAAGGAAGCCCTACTTTGTAAGACAATTTTTTTAAAATTTATTTTAAAAGGAGCTACCATATACATGGTGAACAATTCTGCTCATAGAAAATACAGTTTTATTATATGTAATTCTCAGTTCCAAGCATGGGTAAGTATCACCCTTAAAAGTTATTAGTCAGGGAGGCTTCAGAAGCCCCCAAAAGAACACATGCTATTGCACAGCTCTTAACTAGGTACCAGAACTAGATGGCAAGACCACACTGTTAAATACACCACAAATTTTGATTGGAGCACAGAGAAATCAAGCCAGAACTAACTGGAAATTTTCTCCCTGCTGGCTAGCTTTCATAATGCAAGGTGTTGGTCAGGCAGCTTGGAGAATAAACACAATGGCCTTTCTAGCCCTGAACCCTGCATGCTACACTATCAGCCTGCTAGGCAAGAAATACCCACTGGTCCAATAGAGGCACGACTGTTTGGACGATAAGCAACTGCTTTCGGATAGATGAGTCCTGCATCACTGGAAGGAGTTCATTGCTTCTGACCAAAGGTATGACTAGGGAGGTCATAGGCCCTATGGGTGAACCAACAGTTGTTGGTTTTCCTAATCAACATGTATTAAACTACCTTATAAACACTTGTGTTTTGTTTTGTTGTTGTTTGACACAGGGTTTCTTTGTGTGGCTCTGGCTGTCCTGGAACTTGCTCTGTAGACCAGGCTGGACCCGAACTCAGAGATCCACCTGCCTCTGCCTTCCTAGTGCTGTCACCCTGGCTCAGGGAAGTTTCTTTATGCAGGGGACAGAGACCAACACCTAACTTGTAAAAGTGTTGAGAGTAAGTGACTATGAGTGACCCATCCTAAAAGACAGCGACATTGACCTCCCCACCACCTACCACTGGAAGGGGACTAAGAGTGTGATTTGAAGGATGGGAGGAGACACTGTCTTCTAAACACAACACAGATTTGTGCATGCAAACTCACAGCAGTTGTGGTTACTCACACACACTAGTCAAAACTCAGCACAGACAGGGGAGGAGCTCACAAGACCTTGCTCCAGCTGAGACACTACTCTGGAGATTATGAGATTGACAAGGCAATGCACTAGGGGTGAGTCCAAGGGGAACAGATACGATCAAATCACAATGTACACATCTATGAAATTCTCAATGAAAAAATTACTTTAAAAAGTGTAGACTGAAATAACCAATGGCCAAAATGTAAAATGCAAGAAGACACCATCATAACTGAATTTAAAAATTACCGCTTCAAATTTCTCCCTGTTCTCTCGAAGGTAGTGAATACAGGCCATTCTAACTTCCACATGGCGAGACTGAGAGTGCAATACCTAAAACAAAACAAAGCAAAAAACCATTATTAAGCATTTTATTAAAAAAGACTTAAGTTACAAGCTAATGCCGTTTTTTCACTCAAAATTATTTGTGAAAAACGTTAACCTTTCCTGATTCTAATCTCTTCCTCTGAGCACTATGACATGACATATTGTGGTGGTTTGAATGAGAGAGCTTCTCCCCATACACATAGGCTCATATATTTGAATGATTTGAAAGGATTCGCATTAGGAGATGCGGCCTTGCTGAAGTAGGTGTGGCCCTGAGGTTTCAAAAGCCCATGCCAGGCCCAGCATCGCATGCCCTCTCCCCCAGATGTGGATGCAGCTCTCAGCTACTGCTCCAGAGTCTGCCTGCATACCAACACACTCCCCACCAGGATGACAAATGTTCCAAACCTCTGGAACTGTAAACAAGCTCCCAGTTAAATGCTTTCTTTCCTAAGAGTTGCCTTGGTCATGGTGTCTCTTCACAGCAATAGAACAATGACTAAAACACATAAAAATAGTAATTTATGAGCCTATTGTCAAGGGGGGCATTTTGAGACAGGGTTTCTGTGTGGCCCTACCTGTCCTGGAACTCGCTCTGGCTTGAACCCTGCCTCTGCCTCCTGAGTGCTGGGATTAAAGGTGTGAGCTACTGTCTCCCTAATGTCATTCAATAGAGAATGTCACCATTTCTCCTGAGGTCATTAAAATCACTCCTCTGAAGACACTGCTGCACCTGAGAGGCTTTCCTCTATTGCCAACCTTCTACAGTACCTTTGCTCCTCACAGAAAATAAAAACCCTGCTACCGAATACTGGGGTTCATCCTATGCTCATAAAAGAGGACATAAGCCAGACCTGGTGGTACAATGTAGGATCCAGCTATTAGGAAGGCTGCCTGCAGCAGGATATTTCCATGTTCAAGTCCTGCCTAGTCTACTAAGCAAACTCAAAGTCAATCTAAGCAACTAAATGAAAACCGATCTCAAATAAAAAATTGAAAAACGGGTTGAATAGATGGCTCAGTGGTTAATTTAAGGTCACTGGCTGCTCTTCCAGAGGGCCCAGGTTCAATTCCCAGTACCTACAAGGCAGCTCACAACTGTCTGTAACTCTGTTCCAGACACACATACAGGCAAAGCACCAACACATAAAATACACATAAATAAGTTGTATTTTAAAAAAGGATTGGAAAACATTTGGAGTTGGATGTGGTTGCACACACCTTTAGTGCCAGCACTCAGTAGGCAGAGGCCTCTGGGTTTAAGGCCAGCCTGGTCTACAGACAAGAGTTCCAGGACAACTAGGGCTACACAGGGAATCCCTGCCTCAAAAAACAAAACAAAAACAAAAGAGGAGAAGGGGGCAGAAGGGGACGGGTACAGACAGACAGGAATATCACTCAATGGTAGATCACCCAGCACATAAGAAGCCCTAGTCCAACCCCCAATACCAGAAGGAAAAAAGTTCTTATCAGTAACAGCCTTATTTGAAAATGTAAGCCCACTATTGTTTCAAAATAATTATGTGTAACTTTATCAAGCTTGCAAAATTCAAAATGCCCAAATGGGCAGCCATGCTAAACTGAGTGATGTCATCCCAAGAGGCTGTGGATTTGATCTTAGATCTAAACCCAGGGCCAGCAAGATGGTTCAGCTGTTAAAGACCTTTACTGATTTGATCCCCAGAACCTGGTGGAAGAAGGAATTCCCACAAATGTCTGTCTTCTATACATACGACGTGATATGTTCAAAGACACACACAAAAATTAACAAGTAAACACACACAAAAAAAAATCAAAGTACCAACCAAAAAGTAGTTCAGATCTCTCATTGTAGCCTCCTCAATCAATTCAAAAAAAGAAAAAATTCACTGGAATTTATCTCTTACCAAAATTTGAACTCTGAAATGAAATAAACTAAATTTCTCATCAAATGCTAGTCTTCAATACTTTCACCACACTTAAATACTGTAATACTGAATAAAGTAAATTACTGTCTATTAATATGTATCTCAAATAAAGGTATTCCCAGTACTCCACAAGTTCAAGGTTAAAACTCACATCCCATAGCATTACCCATATACATTTGAAGTAACACATCACGTCAAACTATCAAGAACTAGGACCCAATGCACATTTTACACCTCTCTTGGATAACAGGCAGGGCTCATTTATACAAGAACCACAGATGCAACTTCCCTTGATAGCCAGTATATTCTAACAAGCCAAGAGACCGAAGATGTAATCTTTAAGGTTAGCTTTTTCAATTTACCTCCTGGTTTTCAGATTAATTGGGTAAACCTTCCTTATAGTTTTAGCGCATTATTAAAAAGTATCCTCAAACAGTCTAAGCCTCCTTCATCACAAGGATCCACACATTTTTAAACGCACCAACTGTTGTTTGCCATTTCAACAAATTACATTTGGCAATCTATCTTTCCTAGAAGCTACATCAGACACTGTTATGAATCAAGCAGTATTAATGTGAGCCACAATGTCATCCGATAGGGCTTTCCTGCCCAGCAAAGCGCCTCCAGTGCTAAAGCCGTTCACCTAACAACAGGTGGCAAACAGACGTTCCCAGAGCTTGTTTCTCAGCAGTAATAGTATCAGGAATATCTATTTTTTTCTCCATTTAACAAAGGCTTCAGAACACGGCATCAATCTGAGCCTGATGCTCAGATGCAAACTCTCATCAACATCCACAAGTGTAGAACACTGTAAATTTATTCAAACAACTCAAGAAAGCGAGGGTTAAATAAATGACATAAATAAATGACAACAGTAAATTACTTCTCAAGTCTCTGGACACTCAAGTCTACCGGTCTGATATGTCCCTACATGAAAATAGGCTAAAGGTAGAGCCTTTGAGACAAGGTAGCGGTAAACACTGGGAAAAGCTGAGACACTGTTTTAGCAAGTCCTCTAAGAGCGCCCTATTTTTAGCTCCATGGCTAGGAGATGATTCAGGTCAGGCTTCCTGCAGGCCCACATCCATAAGTGTAAAAAAAGGGAAGAGCCTATCTAAATCAGGTAATCTGAAGGGAAAAGACTACTCCCAAGAAGTCTCGTCCCCTTCTTTTAAAGACTGCTATTTAGCTTATTGACTCTTTTTAAAAATATTTATTGTAATTTTTACCAGAAAAAAATTTTCTCCCAAAACAAATCCTTTCTACATGTTTTTAAACAGTAGTGGAGGTTAATAGTGCACTTTCCTCACCATTACCATTACTTAGTCCCCAAAGCTAGGCTCAATAGACTCAAGTCCCCAAATCCTGTGACAAAAAAAAAAAAAAAGGGCTTACCCGAATCAATGGATTCTTAGTGCATTACATATGCACTGACTGGGTCCCTTACAAGCTTCTATTCTCTTCCCCAGGGATCCATGGCATATACATCATGGACACCCTTGAGCTTCAATTTAACTAGGACCTGGATAACTCAACTCCAAACATTAACCTCTACTGCCTTCCTTCACAAACTTGCTAAAGCTAGCACTGTATAAACAGACTTTACTTCGCCTCTTCTGTTTCTAGAGGTGTTAAGGAGCCCAAGAAGGCTGAGACAAGGAAGCAGAATCTTCTCCATCTGGAAAAGTCACAAAGGGAGCAGACTGTTTACTTACTAACAGTAAGGACTGGGGTGGGTGTGTAAACACCCCACCCACATTGGAGCTTCCTAATTCTCTGAAAAGGAGAGAGGTCTTAACAAACCGAAATTGAAAACGGTAGGTTGGCTCGGTAAGCATTACAGAGAATGTTTCAATGGACACACCTGTCACACTATGCAGGCCTCTTTAGGGGTTTCTCTGTGTACCCCCGGCTGGCCTCAAACAAACCCGCCTGCCTCTGCGGCCCAAGTGCTGGAATGGAAGCTTGCACCACCACACCCAGCAAGCAAGGGGCTCTCTTGTTTAAAGATGTTCTATACTTACCCATTCTGAAACACACATGGCCTGGTGGTTTTAAAATAGAAATCTTAAAAGCTGGCTAGCACACAAAAACAGTGAGAAAAACGAAACAAAACCACTAAAAACTCTAAGCAAAGGCAAGCAAACTGTGTTAAAGGTAGGAAGCCAGAGCAGAACTGTGAAACTGCGTTTCATCCAACTACTTTAGAAGCTAGTTTTCAAACAGAGGATGGGTCTTGGTGACCCCCCAAACCTACAATATGGCTATACAACATGGAGAAAAGAGCTCTCTCAAACAAAACATCCTGAGTACCCTTCCCTGGAACTCCTCCCGGTACTCACTTTTCTTTAATAAATGGGCCTACTGGGGAATAATTCTGGTCATTAACGAAGGGGGAAAAAGAGAGGAGATATGCCTAGACTGAAAATCCCCAGTTAATACCATCCTATTATTATTCAAAGACTATATCAGAATTCTTTGCTAACTTTTCCCTGGTTCCCACAAAATATACAGCGTAGAACCTACTCAGATAGTCACAGAAAGGTCGCTTCCCTTAAACTCCAAGCTGGCCTCCTGCTTCGGCGTGACACTGGTGAGACTGACTACCCCGCATTCCAAAGTCCAGCAGCAGGGAAAAACAGAAAAAATCTGTGATCCACCAGCAGCCCTGGGTGCAGCACCTCCGAGCAAACATGCGCTTCGCTGGTGCGGACCAGGGGCGGCTAAAGACCTGAGCGCAGGTGAGTGCGCTCAGAAGCCAGCACGTCGCCGGGTCCCCCCGGCCGGCCGTCACGCTCCCTCGCTGCGAGCAGGCCGCCGAGATGTCCTCGGGCCGGCCCGTCCCGAGCCGACGCCACAATGGGCCGCTGTGACGACAGCGAGCCACACGCAGCCCCGCCGTGGGCGGCCAAGGCAGCCGCGGGCGGGCGGACGGGAGAGCGACGGGCGGCACCCAGCCCCGCGCCCGCCCCGGTCCTTTACCTGCTCGGCCACAGCCCGGAACAAGCACGAGCCGTCCTTGGCGACCAATTTCCGATACAAGCCCAGTTTGCGCAGATAGGCGTCCATGGGCGTCGCATCCTCGAGCGGCCCCACGCCGCCCTGGTCCCCGCCGTCGGGCGCGCCGACGGCCGCCTCCATGTTGCCGGCCCGCTGCAGGAGTGCGCGGCGCGGGGCTAGCCCCACATGGCCGCGTCGCCGGCGGCTCGACGCCCCGGCCTGGGACGGGCTGCGGCTCGGGCTCGGGCGCGGCGAGAGGCGGCAGGAAGCGGCGGCCCGAGGCGGCGGCCCGCGCTCTCCGGGCGCATTAGGGGAGCCCTGCCTAGTGCACGGCCACCCGCACGCGGCCGCTCCGCGGAGGGACACGCGCCTGCGGGCCGCGAGAGCGAATGGGAGAGAGGCCCCGGGGGGTCGCCGCCCCCACAAGTTTCCGGGTCCCGGCCCGGCGAGAGGGGAGGAGAGGAGAGGAGGAGAGCTTGGCCGGCGCGCGCCACCGGGGCGGCGGAGGTCCGGCGAGGCCTGCGTCCGCCGCGCGCGCCCCCACGCAGAGAGAGAGAGAGAGACGAGGAGAGCCGGGGCGAGGGAGAGAGAGCGGAGACAGAGAGCGAGCGAGCCGCGGCCTCTCGCTTCCCCACCTCGCCGGAGGGCGCCTGAGGGGCGGGGAGCGAGCGGGAAGGGGCGCCCGGCGGAGGGCAGCAGCCTCGCAGCCTAGAATTTGTTTTCGCTTTCGGCCGGCAGCGCGGAGGATGACGGGAGCTGTAGTCTGAGCCGCGGCAGGAAGTCGGCGGGCCAAGGGCGGGGACGCCTGGGCCGGCCTGCCCGGAGGGGAGGCGCCCCACAGGCTCGCGGACTACAACTCCCGACCACCCTGGCGGCGCCGTCCCGAGGGCCGACTTGGCGCTCCCCGGGCCGCGTCCGCGAGCAGGCCCGAGGGTGTCTGCCGCCTACGCGGAGGACCTGCGCGCGCCGCCCCGCCCCGCTCCGCCCCGCCCTCTCCGCCGGTCTCCCGCCCTGGCCGCGGCGGGGCGGTGGGAAGCGCGCGAGGCCGGCGCGCGTGGGGCTGCCAGGGGCACGGTGGCGGTGCCACCGGCCCTTTGTGTGTGTGTCCCCCAAACAGGGGGCGCACCTGTCTGCGCGCCGCCCACGGCCCGCCCCGCCCGCGTTGCCTTCCCGGTGGCCTGACGCCTGGAGCGGAAGACCGGGCGGATTGGCTGCGCCGGCTCCTGGGACCGCCCGCCCGAGGCCTCCCGGCGGTGACCCTCAGTCCAGCGCGGACGGGCGGGCTGGCGGATGGCTGGCTCCTCTGCCAAAGGCACGGCTGTCCTCCCGGTCACCGCAGCACAAAGGGATCTCACTTTTAGAAGAATTTGTTTTGTTTTTTAAAGTTCGGGGCCACCCTGCGTGGAATCCGAGCTGAGTTAGAGGCTTCAAACTCCAGTTGCTACCCTCCAAAGTTGCAGGATGGGAAATGAGCGGGCCAATTGGGTTTCAGAATCCGGTACTTAGCGTCCTTTTGGGACACCAGAATTTCACCAGTAGCATCTGGTTATCAGTTAAATTATTAAAACTTCGACCTTGAGGAAGGAGAAAAGTGGTAAATTACATTGGGTTTAAAGGTGTAGTCCAGGCTTAGGAATGGGGCCAAGACAGGCCAGATGGTAGGAATCCAACAAGTTACTGAACATGTAAGTTATTAATATTTAAATGTTCCTATAATTGTGCTATTTTTAGAAACGATATTGTGACCTAAATGAAAAAAAAAGTGTCCTTGTCCCAATTTAAGGTTTTTACTTGTAGAGAAGCACTGAAAAGGGTTTGTTTTTGTTTCGTTTTGTTTTCAAAGCACCCTCCATATAGCCCACGATGGCTTTGAACTTGCCCTGTAGCCAAAGATGCCCTGGAATTGTGGTCTTGCTTGCACCCGCCCGCCCCAAATGCTAGGGTGGGGGTTGTGCTGCCTCGTCCTCTTTTATAGGGGGAAAACTCAGGGCTTGATGCCTGCCAAGCATTATTCTACCCTCTGAGCTTCCACTCAGCTGGAAGTTTGCCTTACAGACCTACTATACTCTCTGAGCAGTATTTACTCTGTAATGCTTAAACAGCTTCTAGAATGAGCAGATGCCATATCACCAATTCAGACGAGTGCACACAGGACAGGGCCTTTTGACTTTTATTTTGATACTCCTCCAATAACTTCTGGGCCTGATTTCTTATCCCATACGTATTATGGGAAATATGTATATATCATGTTAAGATTGCATTGCTCATAGCATGATTTTTTAAAACTTTGTTTCAAAACTTATCAGTCTTTGTGACTGAATTGTGCAAAACCACATTGCATTTTTTAGCATGCAAATGAAAAGCTTTGTTCAATTTATATGCCCAGTAATGTGTGTGTCAGTGTTTTACATATATTTTCCACTTTAAGTCATATCCATATTTCATTACTTAAATGTGCTTCCATTTTTTTAGTGAAATAATACTATCTTCTAAAGCCCAAGGGTTCTCTGAGATACTTCAGGAACACTAAGTATATGTCTTTCATTCTAAAATAGCTTTATTTCTATCATAGTAACTTAACTCACTAGTTATATAATAATCAAGATGAGCATGGTCATTAGTTTTAATTATTCTGCTATAAGGCCTGGCATTAAGGAGTACTTAAAAATAGAACCCCTTATCAAAATTCATTTTTGTTGTTATTGTGTGAGAAGTTGTAGAAGAATAACAAATGTCTGGGTTTTGCACATTGGATGTCATCTGCGTTTCTTAGCACTCTTGCTGAAGCTTCTAGTTACAGAGTTAGAGGAAATGCACCTGTCATGATGTCTGACCCCTGAACATCAGGAAATCCCCTGGGTATTCTGAGCCCTAATCCAAGACAGACCCTCTATATACCAACTCCCAAATATAGGTCAGTGCTGAGGCAACAGCAGAGGATCCTGTGTCTTCAAACTGGGCAAGACACACAGAAGCTCACTTCCTAAGAGCCTTCCATTAACAGTAACTCCTAAAACTCCTCAAGAACCCAAGCCAGTACTGATGAAACTGTTCGTTTCTGAGAGAACCACTTATCACCAGTGAAAGTAAAGATGCCTTACAAATCACTCTTATCGGATAAAACTTGAACCTAATGAAATCACTAAAAATTAGTCTTATGCAAATATATCACCAAACGGTTTTTTCCCTGTATACAGACAATACTTGAAGTTAGTTTACACATTTTAGAGCTAATTATGGTAGGTAGAATTATGGATATTTATATTTTGAAGAGGGAGTCTTAACATTTAGCATTGACCTGGAACTCACTATGTAGACCAGGCTGGCCTTGAACTCACAGAGGTCTGCCTCTGCCTCTACTTTTCAAGTGCTCGAATTAGAGGCTTACTCTACCTCCACAGCCCGACCTTCTTTTCTACAGTGGTTCTACACAGGGCCTCGTAAATCCTAGGCAATGCACCAGCTACACCTCAGCTCCAGAATTTCTTAAACTCTTTTGTTAGTTTTTAATGAGAGGTTGGTGCATTATATAAGTCAGTATGGGAGAGTTTTCCAAACATAAGATCAGATATTGTACTAGATAGCCTTTAAGATAACCTGCTGCAGTGATTCTAGGCCGCATTTTCACAGATTCCTGCACTGGCATCCACCTTATGTGCAGGTTAGTTTAAGTGACTGAAAGAACAGTCCAGAGGCAATGTCTTTTCTGAGGCGGGGTGATGAGTGGCTTTGCATTTTGCCCCCTTGACTTCTCCCTCCCTCCCTCCCTCCCTCCCTCCCTCCCTCCCTCGCTGTCCCTCTTGCCCTCCCCCACTTGTGTAAGCTGTCTGCTCTGTGGTCTGCTGGTGTACTGAGGTTCCTTTAGTGTGACTCCCCACCAGACACACAAACCAGGAGGAAAGCAAAACCTTCAAGTCATGCTTTCAGATGCCTGCAACCCTGATGAAAACCTTGACTGCAGCCTGCCATGAGGCCAGAACAAGCTAAGCTCTGAAAGCCCAAACAACAGAAATAGACAGGATGTTTTCTATTAAAGAAACTGGTTTTGTTGTGTGTTTTTCAGCAGATGGAGGCTACCAGGGAAACTTAGAACTGGTCAAAATACAGAGAATAAGTTACCATAAAGTGGATGCATCTACAACATAACCCCTAGATTCGGGGAAACACCACAGAAGAGGGAGTGGAAAGGTTTTCAGAGCCAGGAGACCAGTACATACACTGCAAGATAGTGTCTTCTGCACAGGGGTAAAGTCTCAGCAATGTTTTTGCCTAAACAGCACCACCACGATGGCCACCCCAGTGTTTGCATAAGCTAGCCCAGCGTGACGGGTTTCACTCTGCAGGTTTCACTTGTGTCCATTGCCCACTTCCATTGTGCGGTGCTGCTCCCCACTTTTCTGTCCTCACCCCTTCTGCTTTCCTGCCACATGTCACTTCCCTCCCTTCTCCCTTAAGATCGGTCCCTCCCTTCTCGTAATCCCTTTGGTACTATTCCAGCAGTTGGTCTGATCTGGTCCTGGGCTTGTCTTTGGTGGGAGACTTTTGTGGCTCTGGATGTGAGCCTAGCATTTAACTGCTGAGCCATCTCTCCAACCCGAGACTTTTGTTTTAAAGATGTGATCTCTCAGTATGTAGCCCCAGATTCCTGGAGTCATTATATAGACTCAGGCTGGCCTTGAACTCACACAGAAATCCAGCTCCCTTAGCCTCCCAAGTGCTGGGATAAAGGTACACGTGGCACCACGGTGGATGCTGCTGGGAGACTTTGTTTTTTTAAGCTTAAAGCCCATTGAAAGTTA